AGGTACCGGTACCCAGTACCGGAACTCCCGGCTCTACCGAAGGAGGTGTCAGTACCGACACCTGGCCTCCAGTACCGGCTCTCGGAAGGAGCCGACACCAACGGTTAATACCGGCTCTGAGAAGGAGCCGACGCGACGGGTTTTTTTTTACCGGGCCACGGGAAGTGTGCAGTGTGTAGGCCTAGAGCCCCATTTAGAAGTACAGTTCGCTGACCGACAAACTGTAGGATATCGAGAGGATGGCCGGCATCCTGTCAATTTCACATGGAAACTGAGCAATCTTCTCGGTATCGAAGGGTTCTCTGTCCAACCACCAGATATCTGGCGACGCCAGATATTTGCCGGCCGGCGAACCGAAGGAGTGACGACGAGGGAGCGGCTTCTTTGATGTTACCCCAGGCGTAGTTGAAAATACATTCCAAAAATTTCCTAAATATTGGTCAAATCAAAAAAATAATAAGATTTTCCTGATCAGCGATCCAAAATTAGTCAAATTCATGCGAGGAGCGCAATTTAATACCGGATTACCAAGTTAAATTATATTTGTGTGTTTGCTTTTGAATTACCATTCGCCCGCCCCTTCACTTTTGAAAGTGAAGGCAAAAAATGTACCGCGTGGTAGGGATGGGCAGGTACCGGTACCCAGTACCGGAACTCCCGGCTCTACCGAAGGAGGTGTCAGTACCGACACCTGGCCTCCAGTACCGGCTCTCGGAAGGAGCCGACACCAACGGTTAATACCGGCTCTGAGAAGGAGCCGACGCGACGTTTTTTTTTTTTTACCGGGCCAGGGAAGTGTGCAGTGTAGGTCTAGCAGCTGGGGCGTCAGAAGCACAACACAGCGGGTGACCTTGATACAGTACTTCAGATTCAAAATTGACAATAAAAAACGAAGTTTGCTTAAATTTAATATATGGCTTCAAATCAGGTTCCACGTGAGCCACTTAGCTTATTTTGATACGCTGATTCCGAAAATGAAATCAATTTTTAGCAGCGATAACTGTTAAAAAAATTCTGCTTGCAAAGTTTAATCCCACGCGGCAGCAAACTTCAAAGGTATTTTGCGTCACAGTTCGCCTCTCCAACTCTGACTGGTGTGTGTGGGGGGAGGGGGGGGGGGATGCGGGCGGCGCTGATCGTGGCGTTAGACGCAAGACGCGAAGTCTGTGACGTCACCTACTTAATGTCACTCTCAGTACCGGTACCGGAGCCGGTACTGGCGGTTCTCTGCACCTGGTGCTGAGAAAGTACCGACACTGGATTTCGCCGGTACCGCCCACCACTACTAGAAGCCACACTATCAATGCCAAATAGCAAAAAAGCCGATATTGCGCACTGAAACGGACAGCACAAATTTGGTCTGCTTCAGTGCGCAACCCTATCTGGCATGTTCCTGGGCATTAAGAAGCAGCCTGCGATAGTATTTATCGATTCTAGTATATGTATACATTCTACGATACATTAGAGCTAGATTAACTAGATGTGCTAAATAATCGACTACTAGCGCTTAGTAAATTCACCGATACCGGTTACGAAAACCATCAATATGAAGGGGCAAAACTTTCCGACACCGTAGAATCACGTGTGTTGACAGGAACCTCCAAAACGAAAGTGAAATAAGCTGCATTCTGCGCATGCTCACAGAAAGTGACCTCGTTTTCGCTGTTCTTATCCAAAACAAATCAGACCGAAGGGCTAGAACCCAAATGGCCGCTGGATCGGAAAAGTAAAGTAAAGTAAAGTATCCAAAACAAAGCAGGAGACCGGGGGTTGCGCACCCAAACAGCAGCGCGGTGACGCTGTTAGACTCTAGATGTAGACTCTAGATCTAGATATCTAGATTAGGTCTAAAACTTACATGTATGACATAATGCCGGGGAAGATTGAACAATACCGGACCACTTGTTACATTGTATTATTGCGCCTTGCGTGAGCCAGATTACTTCCTTACAATGATAACACCGCTCTGCCTTCCCAACAACCAACACGCACTGCGTTTGGCGAACCAGTCGTGCGACAAGCGCGTGCCCTTCAATTCGTGAGAGGAGGAAGGCTAGCATTGGAAGGTCCGACATTCTTCTTTCACATCTTGTTGAAGGGGGGGGGGGGTCAAACTATTAATGACAATAATCTACCGCTCTGAAATTCTTCAGTAAAAAGGGGGAAGTTGTTTGGGGGGTGTTCGAGATTCTTCAAACATTGAGAGAAATTAAAATCGATGTTATCTCACGAAGCACTTGGCCCACCCTAAACGAAGAATGCCGGACCAGGCGGGGAAGGGAGAGGCAGTGGCTCGCTCGCTTGGTCGCGCGATGTTCCACACGTTGTGTTGTTTAGGCCCCGCCCTGCAGGCACGTGATTCGTGGTCCGGCATGCTCCGCTGTGGTCCGGAATACTTCGCTGCGAATGCATGCTCTAGGTTTAGCCTTAGAAAGTGAAGCTTCCCGGACTAGGCCTACTACTGTGTGGTCTAAATGAAGTATCCCGGACCACGGTATGGTTGAGAGAAGGATGCTGTACTACAAAAATTAGTTCCTGCTAAATTCCATTAAAAGTGCTTTTGACATTGTTTTTCATTTCAATTTCCCTTCTAGATATCTAGATCTAGATCTATACGTTAAAAAAAAAGCATTACGAAAAATAAGCCATAAACTGCTCAAGCCATAAACCGCTCATTTAACTGTGCTAAAATCCTAAAATACCAGCGGTTGAGACATAGAGGCAAAAGTAGTCCCAATCCGCTGGTCTGGTATTCTTGAATCTTACCTAATGCCATTTTGATGCAAAAAATTTAACCCCTTTGTGACACATGGTCAGTGCGTGCTTCACCGGGCACAGTTTTAGTTTTGATCTCCACTGACAAAGCAGATGTCTAGCCTAGATTTAGACATGGAGCTAACGAGAGCCCACTACACCGGCTTCTGATTGGCTATTTATAAATATATTTATGAAACGACGTCACGAGGACGATAGCCTACACCGGCTTCTGATTGGCTAAAATGTATTACTAGATATATAGAGTCATTTAGACTACACGTGTATCTATTTTACAATGACTCGATTAACATGGCACTAGAACAATATGTGCCATATACACAGGGGGTAGAAACTAGTGAACTACTGCAGTTTTTATCTGTACTGATCTTTGCCTGGCCTCTGCTCTACAATAGACTGTCCCCGTCGTTTTATGTGAGAACAATTTTGAAATTATGCAAAATGAGCCCCAAAATGTGAAATGATGCGATTCTGTTAATTTTAACAAAGAATAATGAAGGAAAATAACGGGAAATTATGCAAAAAATGATCAGAATGCGGGATGCATAAAACCACGGGGCCAGAATAGAGATCACCAGCAGACACTCGCTCGCTCAATGGTGACTTAGATTTCCGACTATATTCCTCTAGGCCTAAGGTCATAGTAATATTACCAAATTTGGTATGTGTACATACGTCACTATATGCAGCCAATCAGAAGCTGGTGTAATGTGCTCTCATTAACTCCATGTTAGATTTATGGGTCAGTTGCCTCTATTTAGACCTGGTTTGTAAATACTTCTGAGTCTAGATCTAGATTAGCTCTAAAAGAAAAAATATAATTCTTTAGAGAGAAAATATAGTTGAATGTGAATTTGCGATTTGTTTTATGAAAGGCCACCTATATTCTCACCCCTGGTGAGAATATCTCATGACCCGCTATTCTCACCCCGACCCGGGTGTGAGCATGAGACGAGCCTTATAATGTTCTTAAAATTAAGCTAGATCTAGATCTATAATTGTGGAGACCTGTAGGTATCAACTGCGTTCTGCTCTTGACATTTCATCCTTGCATAACCATAGATTTAGATCTTTTTTTTGTGTGTGTTTTAAAAAAACAACTATTGTTTGCTGTTCATGGTGTGAAATGGCCTTCACCCTGCCCATTAAATAAAATAAACCTGAAACTTACCTCTACAACTTATAAGTTATTCTCGGTGCTGTTCTGTGTGTGTCTGTGCTAGGCCTACTGTATGTTAGCACACCTGAGGGGGGTGAGAATAGTAAGACATAGGGCCATAGGTTATTCTCTCCCCCTCGCACGGTAAAATTTCACACTTGCGGCTAACTGCAGCCCGTCAGCCATTCTCTACTGATTGGTTACAAGGTTTCCGAATAACATTTAGGAAATCCGTTAGTGATGCTTGAAATTGAAAAGACACCCTGGAAACTGCAGTTCACAAGAGAGTGACAAACATACAAAAGAAGTTGAGGAAAAATGACGATAGTGAGGATGAGGAAAGAAAAAGCAGCAGCTCTGGCACAATATAAACATGACATTGATTAATCAGCCCATTTACAATTCTAATGTGCATAAGAAACGGTTAATAAAATTAATATCCCCCCTTTGGGAATGGCCTAAAGACACTTCATTCAGTAGCACTGCCCTGGTAGGGGGTAGCAGAAGAAAGGCTGCAGAAAGAGTCAGGAGCCCAGAGGAGGGGGCAAAGGGGAGGGGGGGAGGCAGAAAATGGAGATAAAAGCAGATGACAGAACATGGTTAGAGAGCAGGAAAGGAGGTGAAAGGAGAACATTTTTATATAAATAAATTTTTCGTCACGGTCAGATTTTGAATCCCGGACCTATTGAATGAGAGGTGAACACCGTAACCTCTAGACTATTCTAGTTCATTCTTTGTTTGCCCAAATTTTCTGAATAGTGAATACAGATTTGTTGTGGTGTTTTGGTTTGAATGAAAATGATGAAGTATGTGAACAAGTATCCTACATGTTAATCGGGAGAACGTGGAGCAAACCAGGCCCAAAGAAGCAGTCGTGAACTGGTGGGAAATATGTTTTTTTTAATTTGTCGAATTTTTTATCCCACTTTCCAACTCTTTGTAAATTTACCAGAACGTTTTGTGATTTGCAAATTATGTTGCACCATCAGATATGAAGAGTCAACATGATCTATCATGTACTATGTCCAGGTGACAAAATATGATCTTTTATTATTTCCTGTTACAGGTAGGATCTTGGGGATTGTCATTTGGTTATTTCTGGAGAGGTAAAATTTTCTACACCTGTGATTTCTACGAAAGTAAGAGGCAATGTGCGACCACCATCACCTCAGGTCTCCAGCCCCTGTGGGCATTGTTGACCATGTTGGAAGCTTATCAGAGAACTTTGCTGAGCTCGTTGAAACAGAGGATTATGCTGATATCACACTACTTGTTGATGGAACAAGGTTTCGCAGTCACAAGGTTATACTTGCTGCTAGATCTGAATTTTTCCGGTAAGTAATTGATGCGCTGTCTTACTCCTGAGTGCTTGTTCGTAGAATAGAATGCTGTTTACTTGTGCTGTTGATAGTTAACATCCTCTGGGTTATTGTCCCAGCATGATGCCAGTCTGGGTCTGCTTCAGTCCATCTAAGTCACCTATGGAAAAACCAGCGCTGCCAGTCTCTGTGAGATTTAGAAAAAATAGCCTACAATGGAAGAACCAGCGATGTCAGGATGTTAACAATGGAAAAACCAGCAATGTCAAGCATACTTTTTTTTGTTGTGTCCTTTGTGACTAATCAGTGACCATATTTAAGTGAAGTTTAACGTCCATCCCCGAAAGAACCGAGCCAAATAGGAAATTCGTGTAAAGTCCTTTCCCAGGCCAAGGACACTATGCCGGACGGAGCTGAGGCTCGAATCCCCACACTGGTCTTATATGCGTTACTAAAAGGGAAAATCATTTATCGAGGACCCATATTACGCTAATCTTGGATTTTTCGAAGAACTTGGGCTGCCCAAACATTTCAGCAAACGATTTGTACAATCGTGGCAGCTATCTTTCTTTTCCTTTAAAATTTACCCTCTAAGTGATGAAACCGTACATCTGTACTGTTACGAGACAGTCAAAAAAGGCTGGAGACGATGTGGCCAGCATGCCGCTACATCACTTTCTACACATTCTGCCAGCTAACGTGACTCGTGCGCAGCCTACAGCAAGAACTGGACGATGATTTGGTTTCTGGATCCTGTTGTTGTCCACCAGTAAAAGTACGAAAAAGTGAAAATGTCGTTTCTAGTGAGAGGCCACAGTTACATGGAATGCGACAGAGACATGTCAGTGGTGAATGAGAAGGTCCCTGTTGGGTGGAGCAATTCAAGACAGTCCTTCGGAAAACCTCTCTGCTCCTGATAGTGAGGATGACACAAGCTGTATTCAACAATGTGTCAGAAAATCTTAAACCGTACGACCGTGTCTCCTGCCTTATACCCACTCGACCTCTGCTTGAAACCTGCATCTCACAGTCCCATCCACAAATAATGCAGTATAGAGAGAGCTGGAATGGTTCGTTTCACACCGCAATCACTATGAAGCCGGTGGAAAAGAAGTGCGCTGCAAGACTCCAGCCCCTGAACAGTTTTCTCCATAATTTTTCTATTTTGCTCTCACCGAAACACCTTTAGCACGAGGACTGAAAATTTCTCATTGTCAACACAAATGGTCATACTTGAAGTCAATGTAAACAGTAGAGAGGTCATTGTAACAGAAAGAGAGTTATAAGTCTTTAAAGTTTGTTTTTCAATTATCTCGGAATTGCAAAAACCTGACATAGCTGGTTTTTCCCTTGTGCCCTTTTTTAATATCGCAAAAATGAGGGTGCCCGAGAGGGAATAGACTAATTTTAAGACGACAAAAATGGGCTTATTTTTAGATTCATTCAATATTTACATTTTTTGTCGTTCCATATTCGAACCTCCAGTAGGCCACAGAGGTGCAATGCCGCGACGGTGTCTCAAAATAAGCTCTCATGGAAGCAGTCGCTGAAACACGGCGAAGGTTCCGCAACGGTTTCCGCAGCGGTTTTCCGTGTCATGAGAACAACTAGTGAGCGAACAGAAAGCAGCGTTTTCCAAACACAGCCGACGGACTTTTTCCGTGGCCGCACACTGCTCCATGTGAAACGGCCTTATGACAGAACTTTCTACACTTGTTTTCAAGTCACTTTCTTTCAAATATTGGGCCTTATTTCTAGACTCCAGAAACGTTTCATGAACTTATTCTGTCTTACATTCTTCAGACTGTTCTTGGTATCAAAGCTGAACAAAATGCTACTGATATCTGTGTTGTTGTGGTAAGGCGCTTTGCTGTCGCACACCAGAGTTTTAAATTTGATTCCTGAGAAGGGAGAACTTATATGAAGTATCTCGGTCTTTTTGCTGGGATGTTGTAGATTTATATATCTCAGCCCAGGTTGGCCCAGACAGGCAGGGTCGAAAGCTCACCTTGTAAGGGCTCTGTGTAGGTCTGTTATATGGAGTCTTTTTGTAGCCTAGATCAGTTGTCAGAAGAGTACAGTATTATCATAGCTCGGATGAAGGGACTTACAATTTTTAACAAATTAAATTTTATAATGTAATTTCCAAAACACTTATGTATCTGTGAAGAATGTTTTTTGTTTCAGATTCTGTTTCCTTTTCACAGACCTCCCATCAAGTTATTATCTCATTACCTTGCTTCTTCCCGAACCCTGTCCTTGTGACTATATATATTAGTCGTTATTGGGATTGGTGACTATTAGTATTATTTGCTTTCATGAACTTTCTAGATTAAATGTCTTTTAAAAGTTTTTTTAGTTTTTGTCTGGAGTCGATGGAAAAGTCACTTTTTAGCCTTTTTTGATAAGATAAGATAAGATAAGATACATCTTTATTGTCCAGATCCTGGCACATTGGTTTGGTGTTCCACCACGTGTACACACACACATGCACACGCACACGCACACACACACACACACACACACACACACACACACACACACACACACACACACATGTAGGCTTACAATCACATGCATAATATAAATGAGCAGCAATATAAACAATAATAATCGTAAGTTAGATACACACTCAATGTTATTTTGATGCATGCTCTAAGGTCGTAAGTATACTTATACAAGATGGTTAAGATTGAAGCATTTTGATAGATGATTGTAAAAATGACCTTCTGTATCTTTCTTTGTTACAGATCAGAAGCCTAGGTCTTTTACTTCTGACTAATGTTTTTATTTGAGGGAACAAGGGATGTTTGTTGTCTAAAAAGATGGAATTAATTTTCTTAGTGCAAGCTATTATGTACAATTCATCCAAGTAGGGGAATGAAGATGTTGAAATTTTACATGCTTTCCGTATTAGTCGATTTAATTTTTCTTTATCTTGTTGTCTTGTGTTCCCGGCCCATGCTATTACACAAAAATTGATCATACTTTCTATGGTTGAATGGTAGAACATGGACATCAATGTTTTATCAACTTTAAAATACTTTAGCTTCCTAAGAAAAAATAGTCTTTTGTTCACTTTTTTATGCAGGAGAGAAGTGTGGACACGCCAGTTGAGTTTGTTGTCTATTGTAACACCCAAATACTTATAGTCTGACACTTGCTCGATGTTTTCACATTTAATTTTGAGTGGCTGCAGAGGCAGTTTCTTTATTCTAAAATCAACGACAAGTGCTTTTGTTTTTTTCACATTTAAAAGCAGCTTATGATTTTCACACCATTCAGAAAAGTTAAATACAAAATTCCGGTAAGCGGTTTCGTTATGGTCAGCCTGAATTAGCCTGATTATAGTTGAATCATCTGCAAATTTTATCAACTTGATGTTACTGTTGTTTATTTGGCAATCGTTCGTGTATAGTGTGAATAAAACTGGTGACAAAACACATCTTTGAGGGGCCCATGTATTTGTTGTGATGTAGGTCGATGAAGAATGTTTTAATTTTACATACTGGGCTCGGTTGGTAAGAAAATTGCCTATCCATGATATTAAATTGACGTTAACACCTATGTTTTCTAATTTTTTTAAAAGGATAGCCGGCTGGATAGTATTAAAGGCTGACGAAAAATCAACAAACAGGATCCTACAGTATGTTTTAGGCTTGTCTAAGTGTCTATATATGTTGTCAAGAAATAGTAAAATGGCGTCTTCCACCCTTCTCTCGTGACGATATGCAAATTGTAGAGGGTCCTGGATGGGTTCTATGTACGTTCGTAGTCTTTTTAGCACAATTTTTTCTAGACATTTTATAACTACTGATGTTAAGGCTTTTGGCCTTAGGTCATTCATTTCAGTAATTTTTTCTTTCTTTGGACGGGGGACGATTTCAGAACATTTCCAAATAGTGGGAATAGCATGTGTCAACAACGACTGGTTGATAATATAGGTGTAAATAAAACTAAGTTGTGCTGAACACATTTTCAGAATTTTGGATTGCACACCGTCTGACGCCTTTCTCACATTCACACGTCCAAACACACATCTAACCTCACGTTCTTCAACAACAACAGCATTATTTTCATTTGTGTCGGTGTTCACACATGGCAAGTCACACGGACTGCCTTTGTCAAAACGGGAGAAAAAGGCATTTAGTTTATTTGCATACTCTACGTTGTCAACACATATGTTTGTTGGTTTATTTTTGTAGCCCACTATGGTCTTAAGCCCAGTCCATGTCTCTCGAGAGTTATTTGAACGAAACAGATATTCCAGTTTCTTTTTATATTTTTGTTTTTCAACCCAGATTACTTTCTTAATAGCTTTGTCTATGACTTTTAAGTTCTGTTTTGTTATGGTTTTTAAAAGCTGTTTTCTTTTTATGGATTAGATCTTTGACTCCAGAATTTACCCACGGTTTAGAGTTAGGGTAGATGGTAACTTGTTTTTTAAGGGCCACTATATCTACACAAAATTTAACATAGTCTGTGACTGTTGTACATAAATCATTCATATCACAACATGCATTAATAAAAACATTCCAGTTGGTACAGTCAAAGCATCCTCTCAGTTGATCTTCGCTTTCTTCAGTCCAGGTGGTGACTGTTCGAACTTCTGGCTTCGTTCGTCTCAATACTGGGCGGTACACACAGATCTAATGTCCTTTGGCGTCTCGTTGGAATGTCAACGTACTGGGTCAAGCTGGATAGGGCGGCGTTAAGAGTACAGCTGTTGAAGTCACCAGTAGTAAAGATAGCAGCGTCAGGAGATTTTGTAGTTTGGTTGTGAATGAGGTCGGATAGAGTATCGGTGGCAATTGGGACGTTTGCGTGTGGAGGAATATACACAACCTTCATAAATATACTTGGGAACTCACGGGGTAGATAGAACGGACGTAGATGTAAAGTGAGAACTTCCACATGGGCAGAACAGGACTGGTGTACTACCTGTATGTTATTGGGGTGGCACCATCGATCGTTAATGTACGCACACACGTGAGGTAGAACATGCTACTGTTCCTTATCCCTTTAATTTTAACTATTAGCGTCTGTCATATCATGTAGACCTTCAGTGCTGACACTTATTTCATGGCTGAAAATCTTTGGGAGAGGGATGTTGTAATGGCTAAACAATTTTATTTTCTGCGGTCACTGAGTGGCAGGTCTCTTGTTAAAAAGTATCTGTATTAATATGTGTTATCATCTGAAGATGTCCTTTGAACCAAAAAAACTATCTATTTCCCCTCCATTTCAGAGCACTCCTTTATGGTGGACTTAAGGAATCCTTACCTGGTACTATGGAAATTGAACTTCAGGATACTCCTGCTGTTGCGTTCTCTGCATTATTGAAGTATATATACACTGGTCGCATGAATCTGATTGAAATTCAGGTAGCAATTATTATAATTAATAATCTTGTCTTTTTCTTTGTAATTTCTTGAGTTCTGGAACCAAGACATGTAATGTATTTTACTGATTGCCCAGCAGTTTTGCCTATTTTGTCTTTTTCATTTATGTTTCAGGGTTCCTCCATACCCTGAAGCCTCATGCAATAGTCTATCTACTCCAGATAGACATATATCAATGGAAAGAGAATTGGATGGTCTTTCAGACTTACCCAATAGATTTCATTTTTTGTCAAACTGTCTTGAAGTGGGACCTCTTTTTCTTCTAAAAATAGAAACAAAAACAGAAATCACACTTTTCCAGCAGTCACAAAGAAGGGAAAGAAAGTGTTTGAAAATTTAATTTAGAGTTTACAATTAAACAATTATTGCATGGAAAAGTGCATTCAGTTCTGCATAGGCCTCCATTATGTGCCGAAGATACATAATTCTGTTGGAAAATAAAGAAATGGGAGCCATTCTAATACATCCTACAATTCTTAGTTATGGCCATTGAATCTGGAAATTTCATATCATGACTTTTTGCTCTCAAGCCTCCTGCAATAATCTATCTGTTCCAGATAGACATATTATATACCAACAGAAAGGGAATTAGATGGTCTTTCAGACCTAGCCAATAAATTTCCTATTTGTCTTGCTTTCTTGAGGTGTGACATATTTTTCGTGTTACTAAAAATAGAAGCAGAAACAGAAATCGGACTGCCCCAACAATAACAAAGAAGAAAAAAAAATGTTTTGCAGTTTAGAGTTTACATTAATTTGATGAGAAAGTACATTCAATTCTGCATGTAATGTGTAAAAGACACCTCATTCTGGTGAAAAAAATAAAGAAATGAGGGCCGTTCTTGTGCATTCTACAAATTCTCAGTTCTTGCTCTTGAAACTGGAAATTTCAGAGTGAGAATTTTTTAATAAGACCATCAATTATCCATTATATATTTTCTAGTCTATTTAGTCTTAATAATTTTTATTTGATAAAAATCCCTTACAAAATCTTTCTTTATAAAAGTAAATGTGTTTAATGGGCGAAATACCACATCACCAGCCATCGTATATATTTATATGATATAGTACTGCGTGAACTGCTGGGATTTAAATTTGAATAGCTGCCTATGTTTTCCTTTACATAATGTGATGTTCTTAAGAAAGTCTTCTGCCTTAGAAAATTGGAGATGATCGATGTTTTTTGAAAAAAATATCTGATCAGTGCAGAGAAAGATAGATAGAGATGAATAGAATGATGGATAGATAGACAGAAATAGAGATAAAGAGTGAGAGAGAGAGAGAGAGAGAGAGAGAGAGAGACAGAGACAGAGACAGAGACAGAGACAGAGTGAGAGAGATAGATGAATAGATAGACAGATAGATAAAATAGAGAGAGAGAAAGAGAGAAGGAGAGAGAGAGAGGTACATGTACCTCTTTGATGTTTTGAATGTCACGAGAGAAGGTTGTTTGTATCTATTAAGCACATGGAAAAGTAAATTCCCATGGGTTTTTTTCCCCAGGAGGAAAACTTGTTGGACATTTTGAGTCTGTCCCACAGATTTGGATTTGTGGAGTTGGAATCTTCAATATCGGACTATTTGAAAGCAATATTGAACATACGTAATGTGTGTCACATATATGACTTGGCCAATATTTACAGGTATGTCAACTGTTTTTAACCCTTTGAGCCCTGACCTCCTGAGGCTACCGTGCCCCTCTACCAGAACTCCTGAGTGATATGTTACTAACATTCATATGATTGTCAGAATCACATTCCATATCCCACTCAGGGTAGTCCTTGTCATTACCAGCATCAAATTCAGAAAGACCTTCAAAATAATAATAATGTCTTGTGTAGTAAAAGCTGTTTTCTGCAGTACTTATTTTGTCTCAGACGGACTGGGTTGGGGATAGGGTCTTGTTCTCAGGTGTACTGGTGGCAAGGCATACAGGGAGTTTTATGCACCACCGGTGTACCGGTGGCAAGGGCTCAAAGGATTAAAATGTCGTTATCGTTTCAGGTCTTGAGTGATGCAGACTGCTTTTAGTGAGATTTTTGTGGGCTGCACTGTTGTTGCTCACTGCTTTTTCAGTTGAGCTATTAGGCAGAAATTCAATTTGATCTTTTTCACGGGGGCTCTTATGGTTTAGTTCCTCGTTCAAAACCTGACAGCAATGGAAAATTTTCTTCTGTAAAATGTTCTTCTTTCACCTCCTTTCCTGCTCTCTGATTATGTTTTATCAGTGGGTGGTTGGCGGGTGCTCTGGTGCGGTTTGCTTCTTCTTACCTATCAAACATCTATCGTCCTTATCTTTCCTCCTTCTTTTTTGTGTTTGTTACTCTCTTGTAACAACTCTAATCTTTGGCACTTATATGACCTTATGCTGTTGCGAGCGCCGTAAAACATCTACTAAAACTAAACTATGTTTTGTCATCGATTTTCCTCTCCACTTTCTGCCTCCCATTTCCCCCCCTCATCTGGGCTCCTGACTCTTTCTACTGCTACTCCTGGCTCCTTCTTACTGCTGTCTTTCAGTCACTTTTCCGATCTTAGGGTTGGTAAGATTTAACACCCAGCCTTCTCGGAAAAGCGCGAACAATGTCAAAGGTCCTGTATCTAAGTTGCGCGCATTTAAGATTCCTTGGTGGTCCTAAAATCGATAAAAGTAGGCTTCGGCTGCCTCCCTGGCTAATTTCAAAATTAATTCCTTCCAAACTGAAAATGCTTAATGTGTCCCTCGCAGTCATATGATATGACCTTAGGCAGTTGCAAGCGCCGTAAAACACTTACCAAAACGATCTTTTTCACTTTGGCTGTTCTATAGGTTTTTTTCTGCAAATTTTGTAAAAACTAATGTTCTTTGTTGAAGAGAAATTACGAAGTAAGGTATAATTTTTTCATTTTTTGGAAAGTCTCATAAAATAATTGTGTAAAGTACGCACTGTGACCAAAGATAGTAAATAACAAGATGGGCCACTCAGCCAAAAAAGTGTCTGCAGGAAGTTCGCTCTTTGCTTCAGATGGCGCTGCAGTCTGTTTTGAAGCTCTCTTTCGTTTTTTCAGAAGAAGAATAGGAATAGCATCTCCTTGCGTGCGCAGATCGACTGCTGTTCATCAGCAGTTCGGGTTTGTTCAGTGCGGAGTTTTAGGATTTTTAAATTTTAATGAGCTCTCGCCTTTCATTCTAAAGTCAAATCAAACGAAGAAAACAATCACACTTTCCTCCGGAAGAGGTTTTTTGTCAGCGTAACCCTTTTAAAAAAGCGTTCTTCCGAAATTCATTCAAAAACTTGCTAGTTTTACTTTGATTTTTTAAACTCAAGTAGGATAACTCTGTTCGCAAAAGGTGCGCTTTTGCGAAGAGGGCGCCACCGAATTTTGAGGACACTTTTTTAATTGGCTCAAAGAGAGAAGTGGCCCCTCTTGTTATGTAGACTCTTTGCTGTGACTCGGTTATAAATGTTAAAATACAGGACATTGTTATTGCTTTTAAAGTACAGTGAAGCTGTTCCTAAGTTTTGTCAATAGGGCTGTCTTGTATTAACAAGAAAAATTTGAGCAGCAAATTTGATTATGCATTTTTGAGAACTTGACAAAGGGAGGCAGGATGATGATGGCTTAACTATTTGTTATAGAGGAGCTTTTGCTGCGGCTTTGGGGGTACCTATCTACTCACAGTTGATGTTTTCATTGACTGGAAGCGGGTGGTTGGAGGACGCCACTGGTAGGTCCTACTTCTTTACTTTCCCTCTCTTATTTCTGTCTGTTTTACTTTTTCCCAGCACTAAATAACCTTTTTTGTGTCAATGTGCTTCTGTTTATTCAAGCAAACATTGATTGGCAAAGAGACTGTGGCATAGTTTTATAGAGTTTAACAAGGCATGGTTCTCCTCACCATACTGAAAAATTGGATTACTTTGAGAGAACCTTAGAAATGCAAAAGAATTTTTATCCATGAAGGGAACTGTTACATGATCATATTTCATACTGTTATATAAGGTGTCATTTAAGAAATCTGAAAAAAAAAATGGTGACCTAGATCTAGGTTCAGGTGGTAAATCAAATTTTGGGATATAAAGAAAGATGTTGAAATTCATATCAAAAGTAAAAGAGTAAGACTAACCTGCGACCTGGAGGACAGAAATTAGACCGATTTAAAAGCTTACAGAATAGTGTATAGTTTAAGGCTCTCTACTTAAAGGGTTTTGCAATTGAGACAAAAAAGAATTGTGCTAGGTTTTGGTTTGTCATTTTTAAAGGTACAAAAAAAAAAAAGAAGAAGAAGAAAGAGGATGGTTTCATGTGTGGGAAAAATAATCATGTATTTCATACTGTTATATCTAATTTTAAAGACATTCTACGTAATGTGGCTTCATATTTTCTTTTTTCTGTTTTTCCAGCTTAACATCCTTGTGCAGTGTGTGCAAAGACTACATGGACAGGAATGCACATGAGGTTCTTTGCAGTGAGAGTTTTCTCTCTTTATCACAGGTCAGTAAGTCTGCAAATGGCTGAAGTTTGGGTAATATTTTTGAGGTTGTCATGCCTTTCATATATTTCAATTTATTGTCATAAAAGATGGTAGAGTAGATTTTTCAAAACATAAAACTGATTTGTTATTGATCCTGATTTTTTCAGCCAATTCTGATTTTTTAAAAGTCTGTGCACATGCATGCGTGCTTGCACACACACACACACACACACACACACTTACACACACACACACACACACACACACTTACACACACACACACACACACACAGGAACACACACACTCACACACTCACACACTCACACACACATGAGAGAGAGAGGGGGGGGGGGAGAGAGAGAGAGAGAGAGAGAGGGGGGGGGAGAGAGAGAGAGAGGGAGAGAGAGAGAGAGAGAGAGAGAGTTTGGTGGACATATGGAGATATTGTTATCATCTGAAAGCTTGGTATATTTGTCTCGCTTTTGATGGAAATAGATACCCATCTATCTTGAAAAGAAGTCGAGATATTTGTGATTGATGGTGGTTTGGGGGGGGGGGGGGGGGTCACCTGACCTGTTGTCAGAGGTAAAGTTAACGGGAAATGACTGCCAAAGTTTGTGGACTTCTAAATCTTGAGTGTTCTTGGGAACTGCAAATTTACATTTTTTAGTGCCCCTGATCACACTTTTCAAAAAAATCCACACAGAAATATGTATTGCAAGTGGATTTATATGGTCTTGAGCACCAAAAAAAAACCGGAAAGAAAAATTCCAACAGAAATTCCCCAACAGGAAAATGCTGTTTTCTCTTTGATTTAATTATTTTGCTTTCACTTAGATGCTACATATATATAAGTTTTAAGATTGACATTACATAAAGTTTTTATGTACTGCCTGATGGTGGCTTAAATTAAAAGATAAAAAAAATAAAAGATTTTTTAATTTTCATTAGATCTCTCTGATTTTTGGCCAAACCACCTTGAATTGACCCTGAGTCGACTTGAAAGGAGAAATTTGAGTTATGCAGCCCTCTCTGTGGGAAAAATAATAAGTGAAATCTTTTTTAAAAACTTTTTAATGATGTGTGTAATGGTCTTTCTACTTCTATTTAAGTTATATTTTATTATGATGCTTTGCATGCTATATTTCCACAAATTTTTCAGACATCAATGCGCGACCTCATCTCAAGGGACTCATTTTGTGCTCCTGAAATTGAAATTTTTCGTGCTGTGTGCAACTGGGCTGAGCACAACAAAGGCCAGGACCCCACTCCAATACTTGAAGTTGTGCGCCTCCAGCTGATGGGGATGCATGAGTTACTGAATGTGGTACGAGATACAGGCTTGGTGTCTTCTGATGCTATCCTGGATGCCATCAAAGTACAGACAGAAAGCAGGGACATGGATCTCAAGTATAGAGGTTTGCTCGGTAAGGTTTCCCTCCGTTTCATCATCTTTCTGTGTCAGCTAAAAACTGTCAACAGAGTGAAATATTTTTATCTATTCTTGTCGTCCTTGTCATTTGCTTCCATGACTGTCTTATGCCTTGGAACTGGATTAGTGTTCTTACAGTTTGGAGTGGGCCCTTGTGATGCTGGTTGTTAAAGACTTGGACAACATGCTGAAAGTCCATGGGGATCTGAATTGTTTTCCTCCACCCAAGAATGTTTATCTTTTCGGTTCTGTTTTCTGAAGGGGAAATAAGTGACCAGCATTGTGAGAGGGAATATTCTAATGGGGAGCCAAGTATTCATTGTTCTGAAGGGGTATTACAAACCTGCCAACCGTCCCGATTTTATTGGAAAATTTCTTAATTCAGACTGTCTTTCCTAAGGTCCTGATAACAGCATCATTTTCCCAATTAATTCAGCCGCAAAGGAAAAATTATTTTCTTTTCTAGAGTTGCGAAATCCGCAATGAAAGAATAAAAATAGGAAAAGTATGTTTCCTGAATATTGCACTACTTTGACGATAGTGGTGGTTTGATGTGGCATCTGCTTCTTTGTCCTGTCTGTTCCTTCGTTATTGTGTTGATGAACATTTTGTCTTTTTGGTTGTAATCAGCCAAATGATACACATAGTTCGAATGTCTTTGAAAAATTGTGGATGATTAGAGGGTGCTCTGGTGTGGTTTGCTCCCTTTGTCTTATCAAGCGTCTATTGTCCTCATCTCTCTTCCTTCTTTTTTGTAACACCTCTAATCTTCAGCACTTATATGACCTTATTGTGTTGCAAGTGTCGTAACATTCTCATTACAATTAAAGCTAAAAAAAATATAGTTATTTTCCTGATTTCCGTCAGTGAGAAGTTTGCAGATCTGGAACTAAGTGTTCAGAATTCTGAAGGGAAACTATGTGCTCAGCAATGTAAAGGGGAATTCTGTTTTCAGTAGTGGAAGGGGAAGTAGGTGCTCAACATTTTGAGAAGTAATCGCTAAACAAACATTGGGAGGAGGGAGTAAATGCTCAACATACTGATGGAGGAGTGAGTGCTCAACAACATTCTGAGGGGACGCAAGTGCTTTATATTCTGAAGTGGAAGTAAGGTTTTAACATTCAGCAACATTTGAAGACGCCTTCATTGTGTTTGGTAGGGGATGAATGCAAACATCAATGCAGCTGCCTGGGATCTTGTTGTTTGGAAACAGTTCATATCTGTTACTTGTATTGGAAAAGACAGTCACTTTTCCTTCACTTTATCAATTGTCAGTTAAAAGTTTTTTACAAGAATTTCCTTACTTTCTACATTCAATTTTTGCTTTTTCAAAAGAGAAATTTTAAGATGGAAGACTTTCATGACTTCCAAAAAGCTTAGTGGGATGACACTTGACAAGTGTCTTATGCTAGGTTGATGGTTAAGTGTCTTATGCTAGGTTGATGGTTCCAATCTAGTATTTATGTAACAAAAGGGCCATACTTCAATAAAGATTTTAATTACTGGTGTTGCCTTCCCTCAGTAGATTACATGTAGCTGATTATTTTTACTGTGTAGTGGGTACATATATTAACTCTTAGAAGTTGGTACATCAAATAACTAGAGCTGAATTTGTGCAATTGTTGCAGCTTGTCTTCTCAGTAGTAAAGAATAGTCTCTCTTTTATTCTTTAGAAGTTGGGAAAGGAAGTAGAATTATGTGTGCTCTAAAAATACCACATGTGAAAGCAGTTTACTGTATGTTTTTGTGGGGATTTTTTTCAAGGCACATAGGATGTAAACAACCCCCCCCCCCAAAAAAAAACTGACTGCGACTTCGAATTCATGTAGTAAGCTGAAGCAATAAAGGGCAGGGTTCCCGCGGCCTCCTTGAATTCAAGGAGTCCTTGAAAACTGCTTGAATTTGCATTCAAGGAAAAATCTCCTTGAAAACTCCTTGAATTTTGCCAGATCGGACAGGAACACGTGTACAGGGTGACTGCCAGGCCCCGGGAATCCCGGGGGCCCCTGGAATTACCCAGGAATTTGACAAAAATCGCCGAGATCCGGAATGCAACGGGAATTTGAAGAAATCTGTAAATTGCCCAGGGAAATTTGAAAGACCCAGGGAAATACTTAAAAGTTCTTGAATATTTGAAAACCAAAGCCGATAACGTCCTTGAGTTCATTTTTGCCGGTAGCGATTGTGAATAATATTTATTCAGCCTCTCCCGCTTGAGAGAACATTACACGCACACATGCGGTAATGGCGGCAACAAGTAGAAGTATGTGCGATACCAAAGCTCGATCGGGAAAATCAAGATCTACTTTCGTTTTCGTTACCACCCAGAAATTTGCGGTAGAGCCTATAGTAGTCTGATAACGCCACATTTGTAACATGCAGGCTCTGCATTACAAATGCTGTGTCGTCATGAAAATAAATCGTTTGTCCTGTGCTGTCACTTGTGTGAAAATAAACAAAAGAAAAAGAAAGTTATACAAGCTTCTTGTCGGGCTCGCCATCGTGACCGGTCATTGAACCTGTGCGTTTTCGTCACATTGTTAGTATCGGCGATGGTTGAGGTCACCAAAGTTCATGCAAAGTTTGAGCGCTGCGAAGTATAGGACTCGGGAATGGTAGGATTATTGATTTTTTAAAAAGACGCATGCGGAGGGGGAGGGGGCTGGAGGTTGAAGGCAACACCGGATGACAAAAAAAAACTGAACTTGGAAGTTGGTAGATCTCTAGATCTCTCTGCAAAGGGCGCGTTGGTGCACAATCCTTGTGTGGAATCGAGATCCATTACTCTCAAACCGTCTAAGCCGTGTTCTTTTTACTAAAGGGTTCCCGTTTCATTGCGTAGGTGATAGTAAATTATATGTATTGTATATTTTAGCTTTCTGTTCAAGATTCGCAGATTTCCAGTGTCACTGCATCTTGCCCTCCGACAGTTCTTACACCTCTCGCTCTGAATAAGTCTACTTGAGCCATTCATGTTATTACTTTACTTTGAGCTAGAGTAATAATTTTTGTCTTTCACGTTTATTATATAAACCTTGACACCCCAACTGGTTCTTGACAGTGGATATTCTGGTTCTAGGCCTTTTCTCAGGCTCAAAGTAAGATTCATTTTTATATAGTTTATATAGGCGAATATAATGAGGGGGAAATATAAGTAAGTTAGAACAGACTGAAAAACCTAAGTCACAGTATCCCAGTTCCACACTGACATCATGTTGTTGACTGGATTCAATGGACCTACATGCGTGTGTGTGTATATATTATATATAATATATAAATGGAGCATGCACTGTCGTTGTTATGTAACATGCCCCTGGAGAATGGATGAGGACCACCCCCCCCTTTGAAAATTGAGAAGCCGGGTTGGCAGTCACCCTGGGAACAGTTTTTCTAGGAAAATCGAAACTATGAATATTATATGATTCCTTTCGGACAAGTGTTTTTTTTAAAAAATAGGCTTTCGTCATGAATTTTTTAAACAAATCTCCTTGAATTTTAAAAATTTCTCCTTGAAACCTCCTTGAAAACTCCTTGAATTTGATGGGAAGTTCATGGCACGAACCCTGAAAGGGTTAAACTTTGTCTTTAACCTACCCCCACAAAAAATGGCTATTCACTTTACTTGTGAAAATTTGAACGACTTCAGTTTTCAACTAGATGGAGCACCGCCCCTTTGGCATCTCTGGGTTCTAGTTTATTTGAATGAAAGGGCCCCAGAGGTGGATTGGTAGAAGAGGAGCTAAAGACCTCACTTTCTGCACTTGGCCTGTCAGATCCCTGGACCTCATTATGTGTGACTTTTTCTTGTGAGGATTATGTTAAAGACGAAATTCATATTCAATCACTTCTAGTAAATATCAATGACATGAAAAATCGAATAACAGCTACAATCTACACGGTGGACGGGGACATACATCCTGAGATGCGTTTCGGGGAAATTCTCATATCGGCTTGATGTTGTCCGTGCTGCCGGTGGCGGCGACAATGAGCTTTTTTAAAACATAAAATAAAACTTGAAGGTATGCACAACATGTGTCCAAGCTTGAGTTTTCTATTGTTTTTTGTTTTTGAAATGATCATGATGATTTTGGTGTATTTAAAAAAAAATCACCCAGTTTTATGTGTTTCACAATATTGTTCATTTTTAAATACTCTGCTTATAATATGATTGGTGCAAAGTATTTATTCTTTTGATGTCATTCTCAGTGATGGAAGAAAATATTGCAACTATTCGCCTTGGGGCCTCTGTTGTAAGAGGAGAAATGAAGACTGCACTGTTGGATGGAGACACCCAGAACTATGATCTAGATCGAGGCTTTACCAGACACCCAATCGATGACAACAAAGGGAGCGGCATAGTTGTACGACTGGGCCAGCCTTACATCATCAATACAATCAAACTGTTGCTATGGGATGTGGATACGAGGTGAGTTGTAGTTTTCAAAGTTTACAGATGTGGACTCGAGAGAGGGCACTTCATTTGACTGATGGAGAAAGAGAAGAAAGACTTCAGTTGTGCTGTGTGAATAATGCATTTTTTTGTGTACATTAATCTGGTCTATCCCTGATCATTCAGAGGTTTAAAAGTGTTACTCTCTTGACCTTCATCAGTTTCCAATTTGCTAACTCTTTGTACTTACTTCTTAGATAGACAAAGAGGGGTTTTCATCTACTGTTGGCAATTACAATTTAAATAACATGTGGGTACTCGAAACAGATCACTGGTCTGTGGTAATATGTGAACTGAGTGAGAAGCTGATTGCTGACCTCTAGTCTCTGCCCCATCTGTCATTTTCTTGCTTGCAACTTTTATTTTTTCACCCTTGTGCCCTGACTGCCCTGTCAACCCATGGATATCACCGTCATGTTTTATTTATCTTTACTGTTAAACACGTGGAGAAAGAGGCAAGACCTTGTGTCTAAGCGGGCTGAAACTGGCCAATAAAAAAGCAATGCTAGTGTTGGACCCAGACTTGTGTCTCCGTTGGGATTTCTTCAAAATTAAATTTGGTTATGATAAGAATATTGACAATTAACCCAAACCTTGCTTTTATGAACCAAAGCAACACATGCCGTAGCACTAAACTATTGAATGCCGCCTTTGTTTACACCTTTAGCCCCACACATAGATATAATGAGCACAACCAACCAATGCAACCCATCCCATTTGCAGTGCTAGTTGTAACACCTAAAATCAGTTTCAGAAACAGATCTTCCTTAAAATTGAGTCTTTTCACTAGGAACTGATGGAAGTGAAGCAAACACCATGTGCCCTCCTTTATTAGTTGAAATTGGAGCTTTGCCAGGGAGAAAAAGAAATGGGGAAATGGGGTGAGAAAGAGTTGCGCAACGAGAAAAGCCAGTGCCCGGCCATGCATGGCGGATGGACAACGTGAGACTAGTGAGAGGGCTATAGAGTAGTCAGGATAACATTGTGATTGTTTTGCATTGGAAAACCTCACACTTCGGAGAAAGCTCAGCTCAGTGATGTAACTCACTGCAGGAGATCAGTTGCGAGGTGGTTCACAACGGTCAATGAAATTCAGTAGAATACTTACTTTAGGTTACTCCCTTTCGAAATTCACTTAATGAATTAAGTTCGCATAAGAGCATGCTTTTGTTGTTACCCGAAGTGCGTGCTTTTAGTGAGAGACCAGTTTTAAAAAATTGAATACAGTCCCTACCTACATTTTGTGATTCTGATATAGCATTTAAAAAATGGTTCTCATCATTGCTATCCTTTTGTTTATGGAGAGATTTTTTACATTCAGGACAATGTTTTCCCCCCAAGTTTTGAAGGTTTAAAAATGTTCTTTTTGAATCTTTCTGTAAATGTTTCCTGAAATATATCTTTTTTCAGGTCGTATTCCTACTACATCGAGGTTTCAATGGATGACAAGGATTATGAACGTGTCATTGATCATTCAAATTACCTGTGCAGGTCATGGCAAAAGCTGCATTTTCCAGCGCGAGTAGTAAGGTGAACATTTTGTGTGTTTGTGGGTTTTTAAAACTCATTGCTACAATGGGTCTATACAGGGCTGCCTAAATCTACTGATTTTTCCAGTAGTGACCGATTTTGGGCCTCTTCTACTGCTATACCGATAAAGTTGTCAAAACTACCGGATTTGCGATTGATTCCGAAAGAAGAAAAAGAAAAAAACCCGTTCTGCAGTGCTTTCAATCTTCCTTGTTTATTCGGAAATGCATACATTCCAAAAGTTCCGTACTTGCTGCATCATCATATCAACTCGAGAGAGAGAGAGGGAGGGAGAGAGAGAGAGAGAGAGAGAGAGAGAGAGAGAGAGAGAGAGAGAGAGAGAGAGAGAGGGAGAGAGGGAGAGGGAGAGGGAGAGGGAGAGAGAGAGAGAGAGAGAGAGAGAGAGCAGCACTTGCCTCCGTAGCTTCTCGAATATTTACTGCAACTCTCGAAAATAAGGTGTAGAGAAACTCTCAGGTTGCACATTTTGTCCACTCTACCATTGTCTCTGTGCGGTTCGGTCGGCAAAATCTGGCTACTCACGATAGATAATCTTCCTCCTTCCTTCCATTCATTCATTCTTCCTGTCTATCTTCGGGTTTTTGCTGTGGCTGGAAAATCTGTACATTTAATTCATTTATGTAGAAAGCTGAACTGTGAATGTAAAAGGAAAATCGTTATCAGAGCAAAACTTTCTCAAATCTGTCTTGGTCTAGAAATTGGTCAGTACCGTTATGAGGATTCTACGCAGGGCGACTACGGGAACTACCTGGGAATCTGAAAAAAATCCCAGAGACCCAGGAAACTGCACAAAGTCCCCGAAACCAAATCTGAAAAGGCCACTGAGTTCATTTTTAATCGGTTGCGTTTGTGATATTACGTTCGGCTTTCCCCGGTTCGAGAGTTCGTTTCACATGATTAAGTGGATGGCTATGGCGGCAGGCAAAAGTGTAGGTGTAATACTGAGACTTCATCGGGAAAATCAAAATCTTCTTTCCATTTCGTTACCGCCCAGAGTTGTCCGATGGTCGCTTGTTAACGTTAGATCTACAATTATGACTTGCAGTCCATGCATTAGAAACATAGTGTTGCCATACAATTAATATAAATATTCTGATTGTGCTGTCGCCCTGATGAAAGAAAAAGAAAGAAAAAGAAAACAAGCGTCCTCCGATATCTAGATTGGCGGGCCCGTCATCATGACTGGTCACATACCTGCCAACCCTACAGAAAAAATCGGTAGATCACCGACTTTTGGGTCAAACTACCGATCCACCGATTTTGAGATGAAGCCACCGACTTCGGGATTCAGCAGGGTGACTGCCAGGCCCCGGGAATTTGAGAAAGTTATCAAATATTTGAAAACCAAATCCGATAACGCCCGAAAGTTCATTTTTGCCGGTCGCGATTGTGATTCATTCGGCTCCCTCGAGAGTATGTTTCGTCATGCAGACAGGCGGCTATGGTGGCAAGCGGGTGTGATACCGACGTTTGATCGGGATAATCAAGATATACTTTCACTTTCGTTACCACCCAGAAATTTGCTGGTAGTAGTTTGATAACGCAACATTAATTGTAACAACATGCAGGCTGTGCATGGCAAACGCTGTGTCGCCTTGAAAATAAATCAATATTTGTCCTGTGCTGTCACTTGTGAAAAAAAAAATAGAAAAGAAAAGAAAGTTATAGTTATACAAGCGTCTTGTCGGGTTCGCCATTGTGACCGGTCAATGAACTTGCGCGTTCCATCACATTGTGAGCACGGGCATTTGTAGGGGTCACCAAAGTTCATTCAAAGTCTGAGCGCTGCGTAGTATAGGACTCCGGAATGGGGGAAGGATTTTTTTTTTTAAGATACACTCGGGGGAGGGGGGGGGGGGATGAAGGCAACACCAGGCCAGGGGACAAAAACTGAACTTGGAAGCAAATTTTAGTATTCTAAATTTTTGATTACCTCTAGATCTAGAAAACTCTCTGCAAAACGCGTGTTTGTGCAGGCCTTGTGTGGACTCGGGATCTGTCATACTCTTTTCTTGTAAACTCTGCAAAGACAAAAGGCCAAGGCTAGGCCTAAGTCATCCAAGGCCCCCCTTTTCTTCATCTTTTCTTCTTTGCTTGTTTTTTGGTTGTGGTTTTTTGGTTTCGTTTGTGTGTGTGTTCGTGCAGGTATGAATAGGACAGGAACTGCACCAACTACTAATAGGGTAAATGCCTCTGGTAGTTTTCATGTTTGTCATTTTTTTTTCTTTGTCATTTTCTGCATTTGTTTGAAGTCGCAAACACAATCATGCATATTTGATGTGGGTCAAAATAAAATATTAATAAGGGTCCCAAATTAAGTATGCGACAAGAGGTAATATAGCCTACAGATTTTTTAGGTCAACTACAGATTTTTGGGCAAAAATTTGCGTCCAACTACAGATTTTGGCCCAGGCAATGTTGGCAGGTATGTGGTCAGTGAACCTGTGCGTGTTGGCATCGTGTGAGTACGAGGGACCGGCGGTTATCTGGGTAATCAAAGTTCATTCAAAGTAGGAGCTTTGCAGGGCTTCAGAATAGGGGGGGTGTTTGCTTGATGCAATACAGTCTACGGAAGCAGGAGAAGGCTGCGGTGCATTTTGTATTTTTAGAGCAAAACTAGTTAAAATTGTCTATCACATCATAGGTCACACAGGACCTACCGTGTCATATGCTAGTGTCAGAAAATAAGTTTTAATATCGTTTCTATTGGTATGGGCTAGGAGTTTTGAAGTCAGCTTGGCAGTCTCACTACACTCAATTCCACATTCAATATTGAATGATAGGTGCCTTGATCGATAGTCCATAAATGGTTTTAAAAAAACCCAAACAAGCAACAAAAATAAAAAACTCGCCTCATTTCATAAACACTGTTCATCTTAACTTGTGTAAACCCAAACACCCCCTTCCCTTCCCCACATACATAAACACTCACGAGAGCATGCACGCACACGCACACACACACACACACACACACACACACACACAGACGTCTTCAAAATGTAATTACCCAATATCATCAAAAGCAAGTTCGTTCGATGGTTTCTCTGTGTACCAGGGCAACGATAATCTTTTTTTCCCTTTTTTGTCTATGTACCTGATTTTGGGCCAAAATAACTGAAACTGACCTTGAATTTACCTAAAATGGGAACTCTGAGGTAGGCAGCCCTGGTCTATGTCTTGTATAAAGAGTGTGTAATATTGACATGTACTAAGAACACGTTTTTCTATTTTTAATGGCTTTATGTTTTAGTTCATATTTTAACACTTCTCATCACCAGTACAGTAAAACATTCATATGATTTTGCAGGATCCTCATTCATTTCCTGTAATTTCATATGTAACAGGAGAGTGTATGTTTGTATTTTGGACCCCGAAGAAAGAATTATTTAAGAGTATGGAAAAAAACTACATAGCGAATGTTTTACTTCCCAATACTTTGCTTAGTTTCCTTCATCTCTTTACTTTCCTAGTCAACATTGATGTGAATGCCCTTTCATTTGATTGTTTGTTTGCATTGCACCTTTGATGGGGACAGAGTTCCCAGTTCATAATTAATGAATTACAGTGAATTACTTTGTATTTTGATGTTCCGATCATTCCCCATGCTCTTCAACAGATAAAGAATCCTTTTATTTTCGCGTAATTTCTGGATTTCAAAGTAATATCAGCTTGTAAAGTATACATTTGTCATGAAAAGCTGCAGTTTTATCATCTTTAACGTGTCTAATGTATCTGGCTGAACTACCTTCACTTGCTGTGCTTTTATTACAGTTCTTACTCTGAAACTACAGATGTCAGCACTTTGATTTGTTTAAGTTCTTACCCTCAAACTACTCCTGGATGCACTGTTAATGTTGATGCTATGGTGTAGAATATACTTATTTCGAAAAGAAGACAAATTGATGCCTGTTTACATAATAGGATATTCTGCTTTATAGGGGATTTTCAAAGAAGAAGAATGGATTACTGTTTTTTCTTTCCATAGATTTGTGCGCATCGTTGGAACACACAACACAGTCAATCGTGTTTTCCACGTAGTTTCTTTTGAATGCTTCTACTCAAACAGACCCTTCCAACTTGACAGGGGTCTAGTTGGTATGTGTATATTCTTGATTGTATATTTTTGTATTAAAAAAATAATAATGAAAATACACTGAATGCCTGAACATTGCTTGCAGCCAGGGAATATCGCTTTAAAAAGATTGTGTACGTATGGAATGCTCTAATCAAAGCAGCATAATGCTAACAGATGAATTATTGGTATGTTGACTTAATGGTGGCTGCACAGAATTGAGGAATTCATAATATTTTGTAAGTGTAATTTTAACTTGAATTGCTAGAAAAAGGTATGTTTGTACTGTCTTATTGTGGAAGAATTAATGGTCGTGATGTGAAATTTTTTTAACGCCTAATAATGAAAGATACTGAGCACCAAATGACCTATTCTACATCCTGATGTCACAATTTGCCTGTTTGTAATTTTGAAGCAAAAGTTTTGTAATGATTTATGAGATTTATAGGCTCTTTTATCTGGAACATTCTCTTCTTCACCCAGTTCCTACAGAAAACGTTGCAACAATAAAAAACAGTGCTCATGTCATTGAGGGTGTGTCTCGAACACGAAATGCCCTTATCAATGGGAACACACGCGGTTATGACTGGGACTCAGGCTACACCTGCCATCAGCTGGGCAGTGGCGCTATCTGCATTCAACTCTCCCAGCCGTACATTCTCTCTACCATGAGGTGAGTTAATAGAATCTCTGCAAAGGGAATACATGTTGGGCTGAGTTTTCATGTTTCTCATTTTTTGGGGTATTATATGGGTGTCAGATTCTCCCCACAAGACAAACCCTACTTAATAAAATATAATGTAAAAGAATTCAATACTTTTGCCACTTAAAACGGCATGAGACCATTGTGAAAAAGGTACTTGAAGGAAGGATGTGAGGCTGGAGAGCCAGGTGAAGACAAAGAGAAACATGGATGGACAACATAAGAACATGGACTGGCCTGGATATGGCAGAATGTGCAACGGCAGCTTGCGACTGAAGGATGGAAGGTCATTACACGTCAAACCTCTGAGTCAGAGATGACACTTCCAGGTGTTCCAGATCTGAGTTGTTTTTTTCTGATTATTTGTGATCTATTCTCTGGGATGCCAGGTGGGCATGGGATACTGAAGTTTTTTCTGTTCCTACCTTATTTCGTCTGTCTGTTGTCTTGTTTTTTCCTACATACAATTAAACATTTGTTGTGTGGATCCACACACCTAAAAATCTGTTCGCTATGTTTTGCTATGTGTGTATTTGCTATGTGCATGTTATACTGTATGTTGGTCTTTTTTCAAATGCTGAGACTACCCCCTGGGGCGGTGCTACTGACTAAGTTTCTTTAGGCCATTCTCAAAGCTTGTTCTTATGCACAGTAGAATTTTAAATGGGCTGATTCATCTATGTCATGCTCATAACTGTGCCTGAACTGCATCAGGGAACTGCTGCTTTCTCTTTCTATTCCTAAACCTTACTATTTCCCCTGGGGCAGTGCCACTGACTGAAGTGTCTTTAGGCCATTCCCAAAGGGGGGACATTTCTCGTTCAAGCACAGTAGAATTGTAAATGGGCTGACTCTTGTCACGCTCATAACTGTGCCTGATCTACAACAGGGAACTGCTGCTTTTTCTTTCCTAATCCCATAGCTGCCCACTGTCCCAGGCCATCCGTATTTTGTACGGATTTTCTTGAAAAATCGCTGTTGTCCCGGAAATACGGATTTTGATCGACGGTCCCGGAAAATAAAAACTTGGCAAGCATACTTCTAAAACAGAAAAATTAGTCCTAGCGAAGAGGGGAACCAGATTCCATTGCAATGATGACTGGCGACTGACAGTGACTGGTGACAGCACACACTAGGCCTCCTAGGCCGAGGCCAAAACTCCGTAGGCCTACACACACACGATGGCTAGGCCTACACTCACACACCTCCACCTTCACCAACGCCGGATGCCTTCACCACACACATCACTTGCACTAGGCCTAGGCCTAATCTGTCCCCGTGTTTTATGCAAGAAAAATTCTGAAATTACGCAAACTGAGCCCAAAAATGTGAAATTGTGGGATTCTATTAATTTTAACAGAATGATAAAGGAAAATAATAAGAAATTATGCAAAAAATTATCAAATTTTGCTTAATTATGCAGGGTGCATAAAACCCCGGGGACAGCCAAATGAGAGAGCGAGAGGGGACCAGCACAATCTAGTTTTGTTTCGCCCCACGGCGCACCGACAGTGGAATTATAGTTGCCACGGGGGGTTCCCCGCCGGGCGCCTTATCGCGTCGGAGTCATGGGGGCCGACTTAATTTTTGGTACTTTTCAACATACAATATAAGGTGTATCCTTGTATTTATGTTTAATTCTCATTTAGTGCACCCAAAGCATGCATTTCTGCTCTTGAGACTCATAAAAGAACGGACCTTGTTACTTGTCTGGTTATTTCGTTAGACGCGCTGGAGTTGGCAATGCTAAATTGTAATTTTTTTTTATACTAGTGTGAATGAAAAAAAAATCAATTAAAAAAAAAGGGCCTCGTCAAAATCCGTCGAACTTTTGGAACAGGAACGACATAGCATTGGTGCAGATACTCAGAAAAGATGGTATCTGCGCATATAATAGAAAGCTGTAATTTTGCAACTTTATCCATCGGGCACTCAATTCGCTATGAAGTAATTCCTCCAAATAAAACTTTATGTGTCTAATATAATCGTGAATATTCGCATATTTTCTCGAAAGTTTCTAAAAGTTGACATGAAGTTTCTCTATGAAAAGTACAAATCGATTTTAGTGCTAAAATATATCTTCAATGTAGATCTAATACACGAACAGTATCTGTTACACTCCAGAAATTCCTTACTTTTCTTAAAACGCTAAGTCTAGGTTTTGTAAGTTGACTGAATAATAGGGATGACTTCTCGTAATTGGGTTATAAGAATACTTTCTAGCTTTCCAGTATGACCATTTGCAATAACAGACAATGTAACTGATTTCTTTACATTCATAATTGTGTCCGCGCATATTTCCGACCCAAAAACTAAGAATGAATGTGTTAGCTGTCATTATTTTTATTCCATACAAGAAGTTTATCTCTACCCATGTATTTACATGGTTTTGTGGGTTTTTTTAATCACTTAGATTCTATATTATATATTTTTAGTTGTATGCAGGCTGCCACAGACACAGCATGATTCATGAACAAACGCAGAGTAACTTTCTCTTGTTTAATAGTAAAATAAGAGCTAACGCTGATCGTCTTTAGTTAAAACATGCAGATGTGCATCTTTCTTCTCTTATAACTTGACTATATCTACTCGCGCAAATTTAAGATTTCTCATGGTAAAAGACATGATATTCGTAGTCAGTTTAACACAGATTTTGGAGAGATCTGTCGTGCCTTTTAGGTTTGTAACTAAAATAGGACAAATTGGGTACTCTACAAACACTTGTCTAGAACAAAAACTAAGGCACAGAATTTAACCATTCTAACACAAAATAAATCTCAAGACATTGAGCTTTTAGTACATCCGTGCCGCGTAATGGTTTGCTATGTGGGATGGGGAAGAAGTCATATCGTTTTAAACATAGTCAAAAATGCGAACTTCCTAACCGACACCGGCAAAGTCGCTTCAGGACTCATTAACCCCGTGACCCCGAGCCGGGGAGCTCCGGCGGGCTGCTGAGTCACGCTAACTAAAAGTAACAGAATCGGACGAAAAGTGACGTCGTGGCCCGTTTTCACATAAACTAGCCTAGATAGGCTATCTAGACCTAGATCTAGAATCTAGATCTAGATCTAGCTAGGTCTAGATTTATGATGGTTTACGGACTTCGTTAACTTTACGGAGCAACAGAACAGCTTTCCTCGGCGCTAGCAGACGACAGTTGCAAACCAGTTTCAGACCTGCCAACTTTCGAAAATCAAAAATAGGGAATTTTGAAGAGAGGTCGACTCAAGGGGAATTTAAGTGTGGCCCGTGAGTTCGAAGACAGTTATTTGAGTTATATCACGTCACGGGCATGCTATGACGGTGAATGAGTCGGTAATATAATAATAATAATAATATTGATATACCTTCCTCTAATTCTCATAGGGTTTACTCACCTATTTACACTATTATAGTGCAAGGGTTTAGGCCGAGGGCCTGCATGGCACGCCAGTTTCGCATTCTGACGACGTTAACATTATAATTATTTTTTGTTGTGTGTGAATTTCGTGAAATTGAACAAGATTTCTGTTTCTCGGGAAAAGACGAAAATTCGTGAGATTCCCGAAAAATTCGGGAGAGTTGGCAGGTGTGCAGTATTAAGGTATAACGACTATGAGTAAGGTGTCCCTGATAATTAGCCAATGTCCATGATTCTGAGCAAGGATGTCCCTGATAGCCACAGAGAGGGGTGGGCAGCTATGTAATCTTCACTATTGTCATTTTTCCTCCACTTTTTTTGTATGTTTGTCACTCTCTTGTGACCTGCTATTTTTAGGGTGCCTTGATAGTCGAAGCAGACTTTGTGCTGTTGAAGCTAAAGAGGTGAGCAGAATAAGTCTGATTCCCTGTAAAGACTTCTCTGTTGACATCCACCCCTTGGCGCTCATATGACCTTATGCAGTTGCAAGCGCCGTAAAACCCTCTACTAAAACTAAAACTAAAACCTTACTATCGTCATTTTTCCTCTACTTCATTTATATGTTTGTCACACTCTTGTGACCCTCTATTTCCGGGGTGCCTTGATAGTTGAAGCAGACTTTGTGCTGTTGAAGCTAGAGAGGTGAGCAGAGTAAGCCTGATTCCCTGCAAGGACTTCTCTGTTGACATCCACCCCTTAGCGCTCATATGACCTTATGCAGTTGTGAGCACCGTAAAACCTTATCAAAACTAAAAACTGAAATGCTGAGAACTTTGGACTTGAAATAAGCAAAGCATTGTCCCTATACAGACCCTCCTTCTTGAAATCAAAACGTAAAACAACACTGAACAATATTGATTGCTACAAATATCTTAGCTGTATACTGCTTTCAAATACCTACATTAATTCAGAAATAATTTATGTATGAACAAAGCTTGTACATCTTTTGGAAGACTGAGAGCAAGGATTTTCGACTCTAGTTGCTTTTGCACAAAAGCAAAATTGAAGTTTTACAATGCTGTTGTCCTCCCAACCCTGTTGTACGATGCTGAGGCCTGGACAGTGTATTAAAAAAATGCCAAGAAGCTTAAGACATATGAAATGCCTCAGGAGAATTCTTGGCAACGAATGGTTGGACAAGAGCAAATAGGATGAATCTGTTTTCTAAGCTCAAAAGGACTGAGCTTTGCTGAGCTAGCCATATTTATCATGAGAATGCCGGATTTCAGAATCCCAAAGGCAGTATTCTATTCTGAGCGGTCTTGTCCTCAAATGTAGAATTTACGCCACAAAAAAGCTCTTCAAAGACACCCTGGAAACATTTCTGAAGGACTTATTTCATCTTTTGACATGGGAGAGCCTAGCTCCGATGCTCTTCCTTGGAGAGCAACAGTCACCACAGTGAGCAGCAAGTCATATGAGGTTTCACGAATTAAAAATGCTGAGGCCAAGAGAAAAGCCCACAAACTGCACACATTCACGAGTGGGAGTAAATTTTTATTTTAAAATTTTGTTTGATTTTAGTTCTGTTCTGTAACTCAAATTTTAGTCTATCATCTATATTGCCATGTCTTAGGTGTTCCCCAGAACAGGAACAAAATTATAATCAAAATTTACTGCTGAAGATGTTTGTTTTGAAAGTTACTTAAACAGGATTGTACACATTGACCTAAAAATGTTCTCCTTTATGACTAGGTTGCTCCTATGGGACTGTGATGACAGAAGTTATAGCTTCTACATTGAAGTGTCAACAGATTCGCAGAAATGGATGCAAGTGGTAGACAAGAGGCATGAACCATGCAAGTGAGTGAGCATATCAAAATTGATTTTTCGGAAGGAAGCGTGAAGAAAGTTTTATTTTAAGTACCTTTCATTGTGTAAAATTGTTTGTGGTCAGCTACTTTTGTAATGGCATAGGCTATTATTTTAATTTTGTTCCTCCATTGAGTATTTCTCAAAAGATGAAATCTCTTTGCAGCTTCAGCTGTTGATGATGACACAGTATGATCAAAGGACAGAAGTGCACGGCTAATGAGATTTCTGACAGAACGAAAAACTCTAACAAATCCTTGTCCCTTTTTTTGGGATCAACAAAGAACACTCTCCAACAAATGGACTTTGTAAATAAAGTCACAAACTGCACCTCCAGTCTGGGGCAGATACATTGGAGTAAACAAGTTGACAAGCTTCACTATGTCATGCCCACGAAAAGCCTCGGGCCTCACCTGAAGAGACGAAGTCATTTTACTCGATTGCGTATTGGACACACTTCCTTGACACATACAGATCTGCCACTCATCCCGATTTAATAGGGATATCCCGATTTTTTTCCCCAAATTTCAAGCATCCCGATTTTCTCGATTTCGATCGCCAGTATCCTGATTTTTTGTCGTTGCGTCTGTTGCGTCCGTTTCTTAGAAAATTTAAAAAAAAATTCTACCATCTCTTTTGCTTGGAAGCACCGATTGGATTTTTTATCGGCAGGAACTTGGAACGTTACTTTCTAAAGCATCTATGCCGAATCTAGTAGATGACTCACGCACGTTATTTCAACTAAAACCGACGTAGTATCGATTTTGAATTCCGACATGGATCTCAAGATCTACTTTCGCTTTTATAACCCAGAATTCTCCGATGGTGTCCTGATTACTGTAACAATTATGACATAGGCCTAAGAATAATCTATTCGCTGTTCTGCCGTTGCTTTAAAAGCAAACTTCGTCTAAGTTCTGGTTAGTCGGGCCTGTCATCAAGACCTGTCAGTGGAACGTTCAAACGCTTATTCTCTTCATGTGACATGACCTCCTATGTGTGAGTAGCGTGTGTGTCGGGGACTGTTGGCTGTCGGGGTCAACAAAGTTCATTCACTCCGGTCGCCTTGGTCGAGGTGTTTTTCGGGACTTAACTAGTGTGGACGGCTGGGGGGAAGGGGATGGGGGTATTGTTTTGACACTTGGGCTTAAAGTGCATGCCGTGATACATGTATTAATTGAGGACAAAGTAAAGGAATAAAAAAAAAAATGAACAACCTTGGCGCGATCTTTTTTTGGGGGGGGTGTGTGCCTTGAGTGTATATGCGATGGAAGTCAAACGTTGTTACTGTATGAAAACGCGGGCTTTTTGCATGGATGGTTCGAGTTATGTGTCAGCTATCTTCAAGACTATGAGAGTTTCAGCTGTACTGCAACCTGTGCTCCCCCAGTCTATCCAACTCCAACTCGAGTAATGCTGTCTTTCAGTTTTCCCTCTATTAAGAGTCCCACACGTGAACTTGTTCCTGCAAAAGTTTTGTCTTGCATACTTGCCTCATAAAAGGGAACCAGGACCCCCCTTCCCCCGTACCCCTTATGACTGATTTGCCGTTGATCCCGATTTTTTTCACCAGATCCGAATTTTTTTACTCGAAAATCCTGATTTTTAGATTTCATAGAGTGACAGGTCTGCTCATAGATACCTCCTGCTGGGAGACGAGAAGCCGTTCTGTGTCGGATGCGATACAGATTTAACCATTAGACACATATTAACCCTTTCCGTACCCCCTGGGGTCATTTTGCACCCCTGAGGTTGTATTCTTCACATTTTAGAATACTTTTAGTGCGAAGATCTCTTTGAAACTTTCAGTATTTCTCAAAAAGTCATTTTGGCAGACTGCTAGGCTAAGTGTACGGATCGGATTAACGAGTAAATTTCCTCTTTGGAAAGTGGTGGCACAGAGTTCCCCACGTGGTATAGATGCAATAGTAAAACACCAGGTACGGATAGGGTGAACAGAATGTCTAGAATCCTGAGAGACCCGAAAGAAGTATTTTGAATGTACAAAAATACAAAATCTGTTCTCCGTCATTGATCCCAACAGAGTCCTTGATTTTATAAAGGCCATCAACCTTTACAATGAATTGTAAATGTAAATACAATTGTTTTGATATTATTTAAACTGTCATTTTAAGGTTGAGATTTTTACCATGAATTTTTTACATTTTAATCTGATCATTGACCGAAATCAAGCCATGCTGTGAACTGTTGTGAATGTAACCTACTAATGTTTTGCGCGCTCATATGATCTTATGCTGTTGCGAGCGCGTAAAACTCTTACTAAACAGAAACGTGTGGTTTTGTTATACTGAATGATATTTTAGTTATTTTGGAGGGTTTGTAATGTAATAATTAGTTTGTGAATGGTATTAATACATCCGTGTGACTGATTTTGTTCCTTTGAATAATTTTCAGGTCGTGGCAGACAGTGGCCTTTGACCCTTTGCCTGTCACATTTATTAGGATAGTTGGAACCCATAATACAGCCAATGAGGTAATGATAATAATAATAAAGATCACATCTGCAGTGACCTTTCCCTGATGGCTCTAGGCTCTTTACAATTAAATAAAAACAACAACTGGACAGTTTACAATATATTATTATGACATGTGTTATGCATACCCATTCAATGTACAGTAATATTTTCAAATAAACTAGTCAACAAAAATTAAGGAACATCTGGGAAAAAGTGAAGAACTTCGAAAGCAAACTGCAACACGCAATGAAATTTGGTACACATTTTAATCAACATGTGTATAACAAATAACAAAAAAGAAAATTAAGTTATTCCATTTTAACTTGCTTCAAAGGTTTATTGAGTTTGGTAGGAATTGTCAAGTGGTTTCGAAGTTATTTCAACTTCTGACTACAACAAAAACAAAACAGTTCAAATGATTCTAATAATGATCATGACCACCACAAGTGTCCTGGCACTCAGTACACCGGCTCCTCATCGAGTTCATGAGGTTGGTGAACACTCTCTGAGGCATCCCCTGCCACTCTGCCTGCAGCATCTGAAACAGTTGCTGCGCGTCTCCTGAAGGGGGGTAGTTGTCTCTGAATCGACGTTGCAACTCATCCCAGAGGTTTTCTATGGGATTCAAGTCCGGATTGCAGGCCGGCCAGTCCATTCGGTTGATGCCAGCCTGCTGAATGAAGTTTTGGACCAGCAACGCTCTATGGGGTCGGGCGTTGTCATCCTGGTACACCGCGTGTGGCCCCATCTGCTGCAGAGTAGGTAGTGCTAATGGACGGAGTATCTCATCTCGGTAACGTCTTGCAGTGAGATTCCCTTGCACATGGTACAAAGGTGTTCTGTGGTTCAGACTGAATGTACCCCATACCATCAGGGAACCACCACCAAAAGGCACCACTTCTCTGACGGCTGCATCGAGGAGCCGCTCTCTGGGTCGCCTCCAAACCCTGTTACGACCGTCATTGTGATACAAAGAGAACCGGGACTCGTCGCTGAAGAGAACGTTGGCCCACTGTTAACGTGTCCATTTTACATGGTGTCGGCAAAAGGCAAGACGAGCAGACTTGTGTGCTGGGGTGAGACGCTGACGGACTGCTGGTCGACGTGCATTAAGTCCAAACTCATGAAGACATCTTTGTACGGTCTGACAACTAATGTTAACACAAGTTGCCGCTCTCAGTCGTGTCCAGATACGATTTGCAGGAGCGGATCTCGACTGCAGAGCCTGTCTATGAATGAATCGATCTTCCCTTGCATTAGTGGCTCTTGGTCAACCTGATCTGGATCGCTCTTGGGCACTACCAGTGGCGTTGACAAGCTGAATCATCCATGAAATGACAGAAACGGACAGAGCTGTTAAAGTACTTTTAAAAAAGTACTTAAGTACAAATTTAAGTACAATCTAAAAAATGTACTTAAGTACAGTAAAAGTACTTTCCTATAAAATGTACTTGAGTACAAGTACTTTTTTAAAAAGTACTTATGAGTACATTTTGAGTACTTTTGGCTAATATGCAAAAACACTTCAGCGCTTATGCAAAACATCATATTTTATAACTTATCCAGTATATTTGACAAATTAGGCTATTTATTACTAAGAATGTAAACAGTATACAAAGCATTTGAATATACAATGTACGCACTGAACGGTGGAAATGGTCGGTGAAATTGAACAAAAAACAACCCAAACGAACAGACGCAACTAGTGGGTAAGTGATATTATGAATAGAAAATGTTTGAGCAAGACAATGGGATCGAATGTAAGTCAGTCCAAGAGGTCGGAAAGTTCTACAGAAAGAGAATCCAAATTGAAAAATATAGATAGAAAGTTGCTCTTAAGAAAACATAAAATTGATGAAAATGACCCGCATAGAAATGGAAAAGTGCATTGAATTCTTCATTAACAAATCCTCAAGGAATCAATGTAGCCTTAAGCAAAAACCACCCAAAAGAGTTTAAAAGAAATTTAGGCAGCCTAAAAATTGTTAGATACACATTGAGAACACAGTTTCAGTTTCAATTGATTATAGTGGTCTGACAGTTTTGCTCACACTGTGTAGTCCACGGCGCCAACGGCAAACCAAAATACAATAGTTTCCTATAGAGTCTAGTAAGTGTAGTGTAACCAAAGATTCTCTACTGCAGTAGTCTCCACCTAAGATCCCAGTGCACGGAAGCAAGGAAAATATGGGATCTTAGCTAGGCTTTCTCAGACTGAGAAAGCCTAGGATCTTAGCCAATGAAGCCAAGGAAGAATCTACAGTGACCCATGAACTGACGTGACCCCTGGGTGGATTTATGACATATGGCAAGCAAAGAGTGGTCGACCTTGATGACCAATCACAGTGGCATGAGGCATGCCATAAATAATATTATATATACACACTCATTAGCCTATCGTGAGTCTTGAGATCTTTATCTATGTTTATCCAGTTGCCCCTCTCCTTTACCTGTCCAACAATTTTAGCTTTCCATCTCTGATTGAGTCCCCCCCCCCCCCCCCCCAACCTCCTTTGTCGTTACGCGCCATTACGATATGACCACACTAATTAAAATTCAGGTTGTCTCGCAAATTCGGGGAAAACTGCTTTCAATGGTCAGGGAAGAGTTCACAGTTTGATGTGATCCCGCCTGGAGCGAACTTGTAGGCCCTACCCACCCAGGGAGTGATGTAAGTTTAGGTGGTGAGGTCAGATGCGAGTGCGATGTTTGGGGAAAAGAAACGCATCGGTCAGTTCACACCTTTGTGTGATCCCGTCTGGAGCAAACATTGTACCGTTTCAAGGAGTTTTACAACGCTTGTGATCACGTTCACGATAGTGGCTGATCTTTAAGGCGACGGGCCGTTCTTTGATCTCAACTTTTAACTCTTGGCGGTTGATCGGGTTTTTGTTCCGTAAATTATGATCAGAAATGCCTGCACTTACCCTTTCATTAAGCTACCAAAGTACTCAAAATGTACTTAAAAAGTACTCAAAAGTACTTTTATAAAAAGTATCGGAGTACAGTAAAAGTACTGGTTTCAAAAATGTACCGGAGTACAGTAAAAGTACAGAAAATTGTAACGTAAGTACAAGTACCGGAGTACTTGTACTCCGTTACTACCAGCTCTGGAAACGGACATTCAAAGACGTGTAGCAACTTGTCGGAGTGAAACACCATCTTGTGCCCAAGCAATGGCTCGTCCTTTGTTTACATCAGACAATTTCTGTCGAGGAGGCATGTTTACGCTTAGCCCTACAGCAGCAGAATGGTGTATCCACAGTCCAAATAGGTGACTGCAACTCACTCACGAGACATGAATGTTGCACGTCAGAACTGATTTTTGAGCGTTCATCATTTTTTCTGACGGTTAGAGCAAGAGAATAAAAATCGATAATTGGAAAACATTGGACCTTTTTGCCCCCTCCCCAGCTCGGCGCACAAGAGTCACGCACATTTCAAACCTTGGTGTGTACAAGCCCATTAGTCATAGAGTAACATTTCTCCAATGTCTAGTTTTACTAGTAAAAGTAAAACCTCGAAAGAATGCAAGCAAATATATCACTGTTTTACAGTGCGTTCCTTAAATTTTGTTGACTAGTTTACTTGTGAGCCCACAATCTAAGGAAAGAACACAAACACAAAAAGACCATCACTATGTGATCATCATAGAAACATGTATACTTGTAATGGGTTACTTTAATGTCTCGTGTAGTACAGTTGTCTCTGGCTAATAGCATACACCTTGGGTGACAAGAAAAGCATGCTCTTTGACAAATGCACTATTTGGAAGGGGAGTAATCTAGAGTAAGTATTCTGTTGAATCTCATCGATTGTTGTGAACCACTTTGCATCTGATCTCTTGAGGAGAGTTGCATTCTTGTTGAGAACACCCCGAGGTGTGAAGTTTTCCATACAGAGTGATCACTGACAACGACAGTCATATTTGTGACACAGCCCTCTCATACTGTATGGCTGCCACGCATGGCCAGACACTGGCTTTTCTGAGATTTCTCATTGCGCAATTCTGTCGTACATCATGTCCCTAGAACTTTTTCTTTAAGGTAAAGCTGCAACTTTAACTAATAAAGGATGGTGTTAAATAGTATTTGCTTCGCATCCATCAGTTCCAAGTCATATGAATCATTTTTATGGCTGATCTGTTTCTAACGCTAACCTAGTTATTATGATATCAGATGGAGTTGTTGATTAGGAATGAGCACTTATGAGAGATAATTATAGTATTGGAAAAATTCTGTTTCATGCTGCCAGTGTGCTTTTAGGCGATTGTGCTTTAACCTGGTGTGCAAATTAGTGGGACCACTCTTTTGGCATTAGCTATGCTTTAAAAAAATCAATAATATGTTTCAACTCACATTTTGTATAGGCAGTTGTCTTTTCTGTTGTTCTGTTTTCTGATTTTCTCTTTTTTTCTGATTTTTCTCTTTTCAAAAAGTTTTCTGTCTTATGGTAAGAAAAATGGTCATGGGAACCTTTGAACAAGACATGGCTACTTGAAAGGCAGCCCTGATCTGTGCTCTTTTGAGAAAATACAGAGTATACTTCAAGTCACTTGTTCTATAGTGGAAGAACCTATTATGAACTTACCCTGAGATGTAGAAGAGTAATGAGAAATTAATGTACATCATTTGTCAATTTATGATAATGGAGAAAATGATTTAGATGTGAGCATTTTTTTAAGCAGATTAAAATTTTTAAAAATGTATTAACACTTGGTGTTGAATGATTCAGCACTTTCGCATTCTGAGGGTAAATTTGTAGATAGATCATGATAGGTCAATGAATGAAAGTATAAAGTTGCAGCCAGCTAGAGTTGTAACAACAACCAGTTGTGAAGTCTAAAACAAGTTGTTTTTTAGCATCTGGTCCCCAATACACACAAGATTCTCCAATATCTTGTATGGTTCAATAAGCCTTAACTGGAGGAAGCTACCCTAAAGATTTCGACTTATCTATTCTTGGTCAACTGTTGTCAGGAAGTGTTAAGAACTACTGATAGTACTTTAGCTCTTAGGTAAATGTGTCGCCCCATCCCCTCCCACTCCGTGTGTTCAGTTGAGGGACTGCTACTGTGTCGGAAACTTGAACTTGTGTATTGGAGAATGTTAAGTTTTTAAAATGGTCATTAGACATACAGGTATTGTTAACATTTTGAGAAAAAAAACATTGGACCAAAGGAAGCTGGTGTTTAATTCATCATTGCTTTTTGCCCCCCAGGTTTTCCATTGTGTTCACTTTGAAAGTCCCGCTGACACTTCTGTGGGTAGCCTGATCAACAGTGTGGCCACAGTGAGCATGACCAGTGGCCCTCCCAACAGCCCGAGGCTCGCCCAGCCCCAGCTTGGCCCAGCCTTTCCCGTCCAAGAGGCGGAGCCCCGAGGGCGTTCCCTCAGCCCCAGCAGCAGCAGCACCAGCAGTCGCAATGACAGCCACCACAGTGCTGCGGCTCCACGTCTCAATTTTGCTGCGTACCACGGCCCACCATTGCCTCCAACTGCTCAACAGCAACATCACCAGCCACAGCCTCAGCCACATTTTCTGCAGCAGCCGCAGGGGCAGCAAGCCTCACCTCCTCAGGGTTTAGCAGACCCACTTCAGCCCATGGGACAGTATGCGGGGCATATGCTGCAACAACAGGATGTGCCAGAGGCCGACAGGATGGACACTCGCTAAAATGCCTCGCGACACATGTGTTTGTCACGTCAGATTCCTTGTTTCTCGCGTTAGTGAAACAGATAAATGAATGCGGTGCAAAAGCAGTGCTATGCCTTTTGTTTCCCTTTTTGGCATTTCTTTTACTTTTGCTGAAATGGCTGTGTTATTCTTAAAATTTTAGTTTTTTGTTTTACGAATTCTTGAATGTGTACAAATTTGTGCATATGATTATGGTGTATTGTGTGTGAGTATGTGTATGTATATGCCAAGCTGAGAGAAGACAGGTTACTTTTTTAATTTGATGAGGATTGTATCAAATTCTGTATTGATAGAATCGAGGCAATGCCCAAAACCAGAAGAAGGGAGGCAATGCCAGAAATGATACAACAAGGTTGTTTTTGATAGCAAATGAAACAGTGGAAAGAGGCGTTGGGATGAAGGGAGTGGAGGTGACCTGTTGGCATGAACCACCTGACGGTTAAATCGACACAGTGCATGCACACACCTACACAGAATGTTTTTTTTGGGCACACTCATCAGCTCTACTGAGCAGGCCAATCTCTAAGTTCTTCTTTTATTGGTTCAACCATTTATCATGTGGTCAAGCGTCCCATTGTTTTACAAAAGTATTTAAGAGCTGGTCCCTTCACTTTCCCAGTCTGGTTTTGTATCAGAATTTCACTGTTACCAAGTCACAGTGATGCTTTCGCATTGTAACATTTCACTCAGAGGCCTGAAGTCTCAGGTTCTCACTTGCACCACAAACACACTTCAATAACAAACATAAGCAAACACTCAAAAACATATTAATTTGCAAGAAATAAAACACTAAATCAAACCTCTTTATCTTCATACGGGTAAGATGAGTATTGTTTTTGGGTCATATTTAATCAATGAATAAACAAGGAATGCTAACTAGCAGGAGCTAAGTTGTGTCCTCTGAAATCCCCTCACACTTTGGTCTACTTCTTTTTTTTTTGTCTCGCAACACTCCCAAAGACCAGGTTCTTAGGGGGAGACCATTGTTTTTTTGTTTTATGTTCTGCTCTTTTATTAAATCTTTTCCTGTTGTCTTCCCCTTAGGCAGTGTGTTTCTGCTATTGACAGATAACTTAGAGAAGAACCTTGATAAAAAAGGATCTTGTTCCAGGAGGAACTGAATCACTATATCGAAAAGCTCTAGGTGCAGAGAATTTTTCGTTCATCACATTGTGTGAGGAACAATAAATTGTTTTAGAAATGGTGGTGATGAATGTAGATTCATCATTTTGATCTGGAGATAGGTTTTCTCAATGCTTTTCTCTCCAGTTGTAAGGAAAAGTGAAGTCCAGCCTACCAGTGGAAAACTGGCTGTCAAAAGAGAATGAAGATAGACTATCTTGAAAATGGGCAGATAGTTGCTCACATTACTTGACTTGGTAAAGAATTGCACAAGTAAAATAAGCAGTTTGGGTTGCTCTAGTAAAATAAGCAGTTTGGGGGACTGAGAAAAGGAATGCTACTGTGTCATGATGATACCCCTGCCAATGGTTCGAGAAAAGTGTGCGCAAAGGTTTGTAGCTTTGACTTTTTGCCAGGCTTACTGTGCTCTCCAGGTTAGCAATTTAGGACTTTTTCTTTTTCCTAAAACTACCTTTTGAGGAAGAAATTCTTGTCTGTGGCAATGCCCTAAAAGAAGTAGTAAGATCATATAATAGGTGTTATCAAGGTTATCTGTTGATCCAAAAATCTGCTGCATGAGTGGTAACAACATTTCGTGAGAATGACAAGAAGTTGCCAAATTTTCAAGTTATAATTGTATTTCTTGAAGACAAGGCAAAAGTACTTTTTGGTATGCCCCTATTGCTGGAAATGGAAACTATCGTTGTCTTTACCTTGTGATGTGTATAAATTTAACAAGTCTAAAACTGCTTTATGCTTGTATAGTATTTTTAATCTGCACATGTTAACTGAAGTGTACAAAACCTAGTCATATGGTTAATACTGATAATATTATGCTACATTTTCTGTAGAGTCTCTTGTCATTTCTGTGTTATACCCAAGAGTCATTGACAATGGCTGCATTTGCTTGGTTGCGTGAGGGGGAACACCAATGGCAGATGTTTATGTTCCTGTTGAAGTGGCTAAACATTCTTTTCTCTGCTCAAAAGGAATGAGTTGTTATGTAGTCTCTAATTTCTCCAAAAGGTTCTTGAGATCAAAAGGTTGTTACTGGAGATTGAGGTACAAGTACATTTGTGCTTAAGGGGTGTGAGGAGGGGAAGAAGGATGCAGTTGGCTAATGAGTCTTCCCCAAAATGTGGAGTCTTTTGTTCAAAAGTCAATTAAATATTAAGACAAATTTAATGTCAAAAGTGCTGTTGAAAATTCCTGTGTCAAGGACGAGATAGTTTTTTCAATCAAGAATGGAGCCAGTTCTGATCTACACCTTGAGCTTTATTTCAGAGAAGTGAACATAAAACACAAAATAGTGTCTGGAGTGTAATGTTTCCTCTTCACCGTGCACACAAACAGCATTAGTTTGATTTCCATTACACGTTACCACTCTCTTGAGAAATCTGAGTTTGAATTTGTTTTTGATTCTAACTCATCCGGTACTCAACAAGGTGTTGATATTTTCTGCCAGCAGGTATGGGGTCAAATATATCCCCATAATACCAATGTCAAGGTACTCTGGATTCTTCTAAGCTGCAGAGGCGACACGTGGTGAGAGAAGTATACCTCTGAAAAGACATGGACATACAGCTGCTTGAGGTAACGTTTCTGACAAGCTGGTTTACTTATTGTTTTTGTAAGATTTTTCTAGGAGAAAAGTAATCGAAGATAGTGTGGAATACACGATTAATAATTACGGATTTGAACCTTATGAGAACCATCTGGAAAAAAAAAAAAGCAATAAGAAATTCATGTCACATTGTAGTCAATGTTGGCCAGGACTGTCTGGCATGTGTGATAGTTTACAGTTTTAATGTTTTAGTAGGTTAAGGGAATTAGGTATTTTACTCAGTATTTATTAGTAGGCCTACACATTCTATGATTAATGATTACTGTCTTTTATACAAAATTGTACAATGTAAATATTATGCCCTCTCTTGGTTTTCATTTGCAAATATTGCAGATCAACATTGTCCTAGCAGTTGAAAGTTTTCCAAGCGAAAGCAGTTGAACAAGTGATGGTAGATTGAGTACAGAAGAAAAAAATCCAGACTCATGTGTCTGAAGTTGAAGAAAAATCTGTCAGGAGCACTCACTGCACCAGTAATTGTAGCAAAGGGAGGAGGGAAGGGGAATAAGCAACCGTCTGCTCAAATATTCTTTTGATGGTACTAAGAACATATGGTAATTCAAGTGCTGAATAAAGAGCATAACCTGGAAACAACTCGCGGTAATTTCTAGGAAAAAGTTTTGCTCTCTCTCTCTCTCTCTCTTCCCCCCCTCTCCTTCCCCCTCTCTCCTTCCCCCTCTCTGCTTGCATTTTGTGTGTGTGTGTGTGTGTGTGTGTGTGTGAAAGAGAGAATGCATGTGAGAAAGAGTTTTGGGTAAGTGTGGATCTGTGTTGAATTCCATTTATATGTGAATTTTCTTGAACCACAGATTGAGAGGCCAGGAGTTAGGATTTTGCTTTTTGACTCCTCTGATGTATAAAATTATAATTGTATCAACCTGAATTTAAAAGAAAAAGAAATGTGATTCCCATTTTCCTTGTTCAATTTCAATTTTTTTTCTGCATCACTACTGATATATGAAATCTTACATTACATTATTTTGTATTAAAAATGAAACTGATTTGATATAAACTCTTATGATGTGCTCTGTGATTTTTGTATTGACTTAAGTACCCACAGGTTTCTCATTGCATTTAATTTATGAGTACCATTTTCTTTGTTATGGTTTGCGAGGCTGTCATGTATTGATTACCGTGTAACTTGTAAAATTCTGGTTGGGGTGGGTTTATCATCTTAGTCTTAATTGGGTCAATAAAAATGGAAACTGACTGTACATATATTGTCGGCCGATAAATCTAAACGTCTAACTCCTATTTTGTAAATTTTACAGGAGAAACAAAAAACTGAATTCAATGGCACTTATGGGGATATACTGCCTTTAAATGCTCTAGACTGAAATAAATGACTGTAATTGTTAAGTATTTATATCTAAATTGCTGAAATTTTTATTGTTTCAAGTCCTAAACCAGAGTTGTACAGATACACCACTCACTTTGGGATTTTTCTAAGCGTCTAAGTGTCGACGAACGAAATGGTCGTTTAAAATTGTCCTTCGCTACGTTATAACACAGTCATTGTGACACATTAATGTTGCCTAAAAACTTGAAATGACTAGACCTGCTGTCAGTCCAATAGGAAGCCTACTATAAAATATCTAATTACTACTGCATAGTGCAGTGGGTGTCGCATTCAACGAGGTTGCCGGGACCGGCTTGTTGTCCTCGTTGGATCCGACCTCTCGTTGAACGTGACTAAGGCTAAAATAAAGAAAGGAGACAAGTTATTATTATAGGATGTTCCAATACCAGTAATTAAAACAGTTTTCCCCCTGATGACGAAAATCTCTAACAACAGCATCAGTGTGAGCGTGTTTGAGCTGTGCTGTGACCGTCATTTCTGCATTTTTAAATATTACTTTTTTCCTGAACACTTCTCGTGTGGAAACATACCCTCTCACATCTAGGCTTAGATCTACTTGAAGTAAAGGCAGGAGCTTGGATTTTCTGATCAGGGGAAGAAAAGAAAATTGAAAAGAAATGAAGGTCTCGATCTAGAGTAATCTAGACCTACCCATCCATAGTTCATACAGTTTCACACAGCCCCCCATTGCGTTCCCACCCACCCCCGCCCATCCCTACCGTAGGCTAACCCTCGCCCATCCTCTTGGCTTTGGGGCCCTAATTAGGAGGCAGGCTAGTTCTAGCAATACAATGTTAGGAATCTGTGATGGGCCTTGTGCTTCGCATGAGATGGAGAGAAAGGAGAACAATTCTTCACTTTTGGGGCCGCTAATTGCTTTTATTTGGTTATCGCGACCTCATTGAAAGCGACTTCGGTCTGTTTGCAACCTCGTTGGAGTCGACGTACATTTACAAAGAGATATAAATTAGACTCAGTCACGGTTTTTAACATACGCACTGGTGTCGTACTCAATTCTAAGAACTCGCTTACAGGAAGATGATGAAGTAGTATCAATCCAACTTTCAAATAAAAAAGAAAAGCATTTTGTGCAAGTCTAAATGTAAAATTTTGCTTATAAGTTTAAGCCAATGGTACATGTAACATGAAAATGAAACATCAAACTGATAATTTGGTGGCAAATGTCAAGATGTGAATAGTTTCACTTGTGACATATATATATCAGAGTTAAAAGTAATACAGGGACAATAAAAGGCTTTAGAATGCTATATCTAATTAGGGGTAAAGCCCTGGCTAGCTAAAACACATATTTTAAACCAAAACACAATACACTTTGCATATTAAACTAGACTGTCTTTTTTAGCATGCACTCTGGTGACATACTCAATTCTAAGTGAACCTGCTTACTGGAAGAAGATGACATACCAAATCAATAGTCTCAATCCAGCATTCACACAAAAAATAACATAATATATAATATAATTATTGCAAGTCAAATTGAAAAATTTTGCTTTTACGGCAAAAGAACATCGTGCAACATCAGATTATAATTTGGTGGCAAATATCAAGATGTGAATAGTTTCACTTGTGACAAAAAAAGTGTTAAAAAATAATACACTAAGTGGAGGTGGACAAACAGTTTTGGCCTGGTGGGATAGATTGTCATAGAAGCTGTGTTAGTAGTCACATGGCACAACAGGCTTCATTTCTTGCTTGTGTTTGAACTTGGCCTGTGTAATTTTTCTTCTCCCCTGTTACAGAGGCAGTTCCTAATGCCTTTATTTAGAATGTATGTGGATTCGCCACGCTTCAATGGCAGATGTAACCAGTCATCATCAAATCCCAGGTTGTATATATTTTTGACCATCTGGTGTGTATTGACGTACTCCTTAAGTAAAAAAGCATGAGGGTCCCCCTTGTCACGACCTGGTCTAATTGAACTCAGGTTGGTCAGTTTGGTGAAATCAGAAAAGAAATCATGACAACATATTTTTATTGCTTCTTTTTCCTACTTGCTTCCATCAGCCTGACATAATTAGCTGGGCAGTAGATGTGCTGTGAGCACTGTCCACCTCTATCTGTGTATAGCATTTCTCTAGGAATTTCTGTGTTACAATCTTACCATTGACAGAACTAAAATGTAACAGTGCAGAACTTATTGTGACATTGCGGGTTCTGATAACCACATCCATCTGAATACATGATTATTATTCATCTGGAGTCAAATCAGATGAGTGGGTGGTTGGCGGATGCTTTGGTGTGGTTTGCTTCTTCTTTCCTATCAAACATCTATCATCTTTATCTCCCCTTCTTCTTTTTTATGTTTGTTTCTCTCTTGTAACACCTCTAATCTTTTGGCGCTTATATGACCTTATGCAGTTGCGAGCGCTGTAAAACCTCTACTAAAACTCTTTAAAAAAAATCAGATGACAAAAAATCAACCACATAAGAAGCAAATTCTTTTGCAATCAGAGCACCCTCGCATTTATTCCAGACATAACATACACAGCCCCTGCTCTCTAGATCATAATAAACATGTACTGTGAAATGTTGTACAGGGGGCTCTCGTGGCCTAGAGGTTACGGTGTTGGCCTCTCATTCAAAAGATCCCGGGTTCGAATCCGGGTAGCGACCGAAAAATTTTCTTCTCTAAAATTGTTTCCTTTCACCTCCTTTCCTGCTCTCTAGCAATGTTCTGTTTTCTGCTTTCATTTCCACTTTCTGCCCCCACCTCCTTTGCCCTCTCCTCTGGGCTCCTGACTCTTTCTGCAGCCTTTCTACTGCTACTCCTTGGCTCCTCCTTACTGCTGTCGTTCTGCCACATCCCTGGTCTTCTGGTAGGAAAGATCTACACCTAGCCTTCTCGGACACGGGCAAAAAATCTCGGAGGGCCCGTGTGCAAGTTGCGCATGCTAAAGATCCCTTGGTGGTCTAAAATCGATAAGAGTAGGCTTCGGCCGCCACCCGGGCAAAATTCAAAATTTCCAACAAACTGAAAATAGTAGGTGTGTCCCGCGCGCTCATATTATGACCGTATGCAGTTGTGAGCGCCGTAAAACACTTAACAAAAAAAAAAAAAAATGTTGTACACCAATTTCGTCTCATCATAGAACGAAGCAGATGTATTATATGTGCGTGAACATAGCCGAACAGATTGCAGGTCCATGGTGATGCATTTGATTTTGGGGCTGCTCATGCTTTTTCGGTTGTTTGCTGTCAGTGTCAGTTTCATCCTGTGCACGTTTAGCTCTCAAGCGACGCTGATTGTATGCCCCCCTCTTCCTCATTTCCCTCCTCAAAGCCAAGCCAACTCAAAAATCACACCTATCTTTTCGAGGATGGAACAATGACAGGTTTATAGCTTTTAACTCCTCCTTAAGCTTGAAGGTACAGAAAGTACCTTGAGACTAGACTTTTCTTTAAATACAAACGGCACACTGCCTGTACTGTAAGGTTTGGATAACAGGTTCCAAGTATAACTTACTGGAGTCCTTCGGCAATAGTGAGATGGCAGCTTTGGCAAATCACGAAGAAACTGTAAGTGCCTTTGATTCTGTAGGCTCCTCCCTCACCCTTTTTCTCTGAACCGGAACCTCACCCTCTGCTACTGCTACACCCAACCCACAGGGGAGAACTTTGTGAATCCACCAGTTGCAGAGTCCAGGATTTAAAAAGAAAGCCTTACGCACTTCGAATCTGGCCCCATTCACCCGCAAATGGTACTCCATGGACCATGATCCTCTGCCTTTTCCCTCCTTTTTCTCCACAGGCCCGACATAATCGACCAACCCTTTAAACTTTAACAGAAGCGGCCTTTTCTTGGTTGAACAAAATCCTGTTGGGCCAGTTTCACTGTTGAGATTTAACTGTCCTGATTTTCTGACTTCTCTTTTGCTCTACAAAACTCCTGTTTTTATTCAAAACCTTGCTGCCACATGTCATGGCTTTACAGTCAAGACAGGGTTTCTCTCTCATACACATCTATGGAACAATTGTTCAGAGGTCTTCTGAGTGTCTTTTATACTTTCTTTTTTTTCTAGGGTGGAGGCCACCAATATAATTCCACCTTCAAAATACCAATTCTGAGTAGAAAAATAGATGTGGGTAGCCGTATGTTGGCTTTCAGACCAAGTACCCCGCCCATCTACTAAGCTATGTTTTCTTCAGGTGACAGGTGATACTACTACTGGCTCTTACCCTCTCAAGAACTTCAGTATCTGGGATGTTATCTCTCCAGTGAATCCCCGGTATTCCTCTCAGACAGGAGAAATGAAACTTGTTGGGCTTATTGTCACAATGTTTTGTACACTACCTGGGGCTTGGCTCCATATATATAAATATAAAAGGGTTGGCAATACAACAGCGCTATGCACACTGTGTTTTGATTCTATGCGTGTACCAGAGATGTTCCAAACTACATTTCTCAGTTTACCAAATGCAGAGCTAACGTTGCCGTCCTGGAAGTAGCGGAAGCAACTTTAGCATAGATCCTGGCATTAGTAAAAATTAACGTACCAAAGAAGATAAAGTTCTCCACTGCCCTGAGCTGGTTAACATGCACTTTGATAACTGAGGGAGCGATGTTTCTTGAGTTTTGAGTAGTTTGTGGAGGATTTCATTCCTTTTTGTGTTCATAATGAGCAAAAGTTGTCACATG